CAAATATTTTCAAATTTTGTCTGTTTCTCAGCATCCAGCAAGACAACATCATTCCTTTACACATTTGATTCCATGGTCACTAAGTTGCCTTGTATTACATTTTATTTAACTGCAGGAATAGCTTTTTTAAATACTTAAACATACAATACGGTCTAGTCTAAAAGTAGCCTTATGTTTCCTGATACTCAAGACCCAACGATTAAGGTTAATTAATTGAAAATTTGGTTAAGATCAGTCTATATGTGTAATTATGGAGAGGATCTCAAATGTTTCCATGCTATGACCCTTAGACTGAATATTAAGTGGCAGGGCCAGACCCATGAGCTCATCTTTTTGACATGAATGTGTGCACACACTTCTTCATGCCCATCAAGTGCATGTACATACATGGTTATAGGGTTGGGAGCTCAATTGTTTCCAAAGTTATGACACAAAGACCAAGTCCCAAGGGGATCGCACAACCCCTACAGTAATCATGGTTGCATGCGTGCATTCGTCTCTTTGGGTCCAGCAATTGTATATGTGTATACAGTGGAAACTGAATATGTTTTCAAGCTATGGCATCGAGAATATATTATCAAAGGTGGGGGCAGATCTTTGGAATAATTCTGGTACATGATTGTGTTTGTCTCTTCCTGCCAAGCAATTCAATGCATGGCTATGGGGTGGGGATCTCAACAGATTCCATTATATGATACAGGGATCAAGTCTCCATGGGCAAGGATGGACCCCAGAGATAATCATTGCAGCATGAGTGAATCCATTGATTCACCTCTTTAGGCCTAGAAATTGTATATAAAGTCAACAAGGCTGCTATTTTTTCCGATATATTTGTTATTTGAACCAAACGGTCAGTAGGAGCTTATCTGGTGGTGCTTCGTCTGTTGTTAGTCAACTTTTGCATTAAATGACATCTACAAAACAACAGAGTAGAATTCAACTTAAGTTTGATGGTATTATCCTTAGGCCATGGGGATCAAGACAGGGGCTAACCCTCCTAGGGGTTGAGGGTTGGGGTCACACGTGGTCATATTTGCTTATTTGCTGTAAATGACATTTCCATCTAAACTATTGGGCATATTTCAACCTTACTGTAGTGCTAGTATTCTTAGGCCATGGAAATATTTCAGCTAAGTACTCACTTTGTACATCTATGCTATATGCTTTGTGGATTTAAATATCTTTTGGCACATCACACTCACTTGAAATATCTATAGTCCACTTCATATGCTAGATCATCGGGATTTGATGACCATGTCTGGTAGTCTGTTGGATTTTGTTGATGGTAGCTGTTTCCATTATGACTTCGACTATGGTTGGGGTTATAATTGCTTATGTTGTTTCCATAATTGCCCTGATTTCCAGTGTCTCCAGCCTGCATGTAGGCATAAGCTTCTGCTTCCTGTTCCAGCATGTAGTATGTGTAGTCTGTGTAGTCGTCATAGTAACCTGCCTCTTCACGTGTTATTGTCTGCCCTTGCTGGTTATAGAATACTGGTTCATTCTGTTCATAAAACAACTTAAAAGTTTTAGTCAACAATCTTACTCCTCCACATGCAAACTGATTATAGTGTATTACGTAAGACAAGGATTTCCTGGTTTGTCCAAAACTCAATGTCCTCTCATTTATTTTGTTCCAAAGTAAGATTCTGCAAATATATTAATTGCTGTTTTGAATAAAATTGCTGTGAATATAATCACGTATACAGAACATGTATTTACTTGTAAATTTTATATCTGAAATAAATAATTCTTCAATAAATGTAAATATACGTAAGTAAAATATTTAAATTGTAATTTTCTTCCATGACTTTATACATATAGAATTTATATGAGTTTTTAGGTCACCTGAGACAAAGTCTCAAGTGACCTATTACGATCGCCTTTTGTCCGTCGTCGTGCTTCGTGCATCCGTGAACAATTTACATTTTTGACTTCTTCTCCAAAACCCCTGAACCAATTTCAATGAAATTTTGCAGAAACCTTCCATGGCCAAAGGTCAACCAAAATTGTGAATTATATGGTCCCCAGCCCCTAGGGGTCTGAGGGGCGGGGCCAAAAAGAGTCAAATTGACTAAAATTTCAAAAATCTTCTTCTCAAGATCCAGATATGGTAGAATCAAATACTCTTCATAGATGGAAGGGTCTGAAGGTGCTTTATCAACACTGTGAATTATATGACCCTGGGGTCTCACGTTTCCCCCTGGGGAGGGGATAAACTTTACTATAGTTTATATAGGGAAATGATACTTTGGATATTACATGTTGATAACTTGATTGGAAATTGGCATTATAACCCTGAGTTGACAGTTTGATACTTTGAAAATTTTGAGCCAGCCCTACCCCCAATGGCTGTAGGGCGGGGCCCAAAGGAGCCAGTGTGCTAAAATTTCTTCATTTTCCTTCTTTAAAATCCAATTTCTACCATAGGGATTAAGCGATTTTATCCTAATTTAGTCTGGAGCATCCTTGGGCCAAGGGGACTCAATTTTGTATTAGCAGTGGATGTGGTCTCCCAGGGGGTAGAAGGGCGGGGCCCAATAGGAGAAATAGAGATAAAACCTTTAAAATCCTTCTTCGACCATCAGGATTAAGTGATTTTTTCCTTATTTAGTCTGGAGCATCCTTGGGCCAAGGGGTCTCAATTTTGTATAATTGGTGGGTATGACCCCCCTCGGGGCATAGAGGTGGGGCTCTGTTTGAAGTTTGTTCTCGCTATATCTCAAGTACTGGATGGATCTTTCTGAAATTTCATATGTACTTACAGCACATAAGCACAGAGCGATAAGGCCCTCTGGGCCTCTTGTTTACATTGAAAACGTTTTACATGTTGATTTTAATGATATCGATAATGGAATTTGTAATTGATAATTTGAATTGGAAAGGACATACCGGTCAATTTTCTATTATAATGTTCGATTATAATCGATCATCACTCATGATCAGCCCATCACTATTGTTTACAAAGGTAAAATTATTACTAGGGTTTCAATACCAAGTGATATTCATTTTATGATGTCCATCATTTTGTATACGTTGAAACTTTTGTGGTTTGATTATTAGCTCACCTGGTCCGAAGGAAATTGGATTTTAAAGGTTTTACCTCTATTTCCCCTATTGGGCCCCGCCCCTATACCTTCAGGGGGATTAGACACATCGCTTATACAAAATTGGTTCCCCTTCACCCAAGGATACTTCTTACCAAATTTTGACAAAATCCTGTCATTTGTATAGAAGAAGAAGGTATTTGAAGAATTTGCTATGTTTCCCCTATTGGGCCCTTCCCTTCTGCCCCTAGGGGGGCCACACTCGCTGTTTATACAAAATTTGTTCCCCTTCACCCAATGATGCTTCAGACCAAATATGGATAAAATCCCTTCATCCCTATGGTAGAAGAAGGATTTTAAAGGTTTTACTTCTATTTCCCCTATTGGGCCCCACACCTCAGGTCCCAGGGGGGCCACACCCACCGTTTATACAAAATTGGTTCCTCTTCACCCAAGAATGCTTCAGACCAAATATGGACCAAATCCTTTCATTCCTACAGAAGAAGAAGGATTTTAAAGAATAATTTGCTATGTTTCCCCTATTGGGCCCCGCCCCTCAGCCCCCAAGGAGGCCAGACCCACAATTTATTCAAAATTTGTTCCCCTTCCCCCAAGAATGCTTCTGGCCAAATATGGAACAGATCCTAACATTCCTACAGAAAAAGAAGGATTTTAAAGAATGATTTGCTATATTTCCCCTATTGGGCCCTACCCCTCAGCCCTCAGGGGGGCCAGACCCACCATTTATACAAAATTGAGTCCCCTTAGCCCAAAGATGCTCCAGACTAAATTAGGATAAAATCCCTTAATCGCAATGGTAGAGGAAGGATTTTAAAGGTTTTCCCTCTATTTCCCCATATTTGGCCCCGCCCCTCTGCCACCAGGAGGGCCACACTAACCATTTATACAAAATTGAGTCCCCTTGGCCTAATGATACTCCAGACCAAATTTAGTCAAAATCTATTTGGCCGTTCAGGACTAGTAGCATTTTAAAGGAAAAGGACGGACCAGGTGAGCTAATAAAAATGCAATAATGTTGATCAGAAGTTACAGTCTGGACATATTTGCCTGCTTGTACTGATCTTGACCTTTGTGATGCAGAATTAAGAAAGTCATGCTACATGTCATGTAGTTATAGTACACAACGTTAAAGTTATGCATAACTTTTTTTTACCAGATATGATACAGATAAACCTATGATGTTTCAAAAGAAAATGTTTTGCCAATTGGATAGTTAATACAGACAAGCTTTTGACCTTTGATCCCTTACCATGACCTTGACCTTTGAGTTACTGACTGACCTTTTGATAGTTATGAAACACATCTATAAAGTTTTGTGAAAAAATCTGCAGGAAATCAGAATGATTGCCCCTACATGATGTAGATATGGGCAGATGGATGAGTTATACCCTACACAAACAAATTCTGTGTGGGTGGGAGTGGGGGTTGCATACTAACACCAGTTATTATCAAAACACAAAAACTTCAAATGTCAGAATGTCTGAGAATTTCTGCTTTGGTTGAATACAATCATACTTACACCTTGCACTGAATTTTCCAAGCCGAACGGATTATCTGAGAAAACAGAATGATGGCATATTTGAAAAATTTGATGAAAAGAATATTTTCCCTTGTGTTAATTGTATTTCCCAAGCTTTCTCTAGATAGAACCTTTTACTTAAAAATAATTGCATCACTGCAAGGTTTGTTGGCAAACTCCAAAGAAGTATATCAACAGCAAAGCCATGAACATTGTACATATAAAGTATTTCGTAATATTTAACCAACATTACACACCTAAAGTTAAAGTGAAAGTAAAACTACATTTAAACACAATTATAACAAACTCTACAATGTTCAATGTTATTATATAAATCTAGATTCCTTCACAAATTACAAGGGCATTCTACAATCTATCAATAAAGAGACTATAATAGAGACAGTTTATTGTACCTGATTGTTTGTTAACGGAGACATCCAACTTGTCCAGATCACTTGTCATCCTCAACAATGTGTCACATATATCTTGTTTTGAGCGTGCAGTTCGTGGATCATCTTTGTACCAGGGACCTACAGGACCTGGCTTGTAAAGCTCAGACTCGAGTTGTGCTAGCTCCTCATGTCTGTAACATATAACAGGACAACAACTGTACTCGTTTCCCAAGTAAATACCACCAGTAACTTATAACACATAACTTTCTTCTCATTACTCCACATAAAGTCATCATCTGAACTACATTCCACTATATTCCATTTTAAATAAGGCATAGAATATTGAAATTGGATACAACAGGAACATGCCTGACTTATCTCCTATATCCTTATTCATTTTTTCACAAACAAGTCCTTTAATATAAAACTATAAAACTAAGCACAACTGAAATTGTATTTATGGAAGGAATGGTATACAAACAAAGGTACTTAAAAGCAGCCATCACCTTGAATGCAAAACTGCTAGTGACTGATCACTATCATTTGTATAGAGAAGACAAAGTGTGATATACTTACAGTTCTCTGTACTTGTTGAAATCCTGTAAAGATAAAGAAAATCATATAGAAATGTAAGCCAGTACGACTATAACCCCATAACCCATTTTGTAATGTGACTTAATGTGGCAGAATGAATATCATTGTCCCACCTGAACAAAATAGTTAAATATGACCTTCACTCAACAACACCAAAATAGCTAAATATGACCTTCACTCCACAACACCAAAAACCTTTGGGTTCCTCAAACAGAAGAAAATCCCCTCAACCAAACTATAATCAATATATGAAGTTTTCCGTTTCTAACTCTCTAATTACACTTAAGAAGCGTTTTCACACAACAGGTGAGTCACTTTGTCCTCTGGAGGTCTTAAATAGAACTCCTCCTCTACCCATCAGTAGGCATCCTATTAAGCTTCAGGGTTTCTAGGTGAAATGATACTCAGCTTACAGTCATGAAAACAATTTTTTCACTATAAATGCTGACTTTGACCCATGTCCTTTTGACTTCAAAATGAATAGGGTTTCTCCTCGTCCCAAGGCTAGGGTAGTCATTCTGAGAAATATGATGAAAGCCTATCTGTTGTGCATACTAGGATATGGATCTGCATACTAAGTTTGGTTGAAATGGAACCAGTTTCAGATTAACCCATCAGAAAATAGTAGCCTCATTAGATGTGTGTAAATATGCATCATATTGGTGATTGAACTTAACCTTAAAACTTACCATTATGTATGTAGTATTAACGATGTACATACCTAATATGGTTAAAAATGAATCAGTTTTAGGGTAGTCAAATTGGGAACCATTTAACCAATCAGAATCAAGCAGTCTTTTTAATCACGTTTAAATAAGCACACATCAAATTGATGACCAAACTTAGCCTAGATCCTATTTGCCATGATGAATATGCAATCCAAATTTTGTTTTGATCCGATACTTTTAGGGGTGTTATTGAATGAAAACAAAAGCGTGAGAGGTGGATAGACAGGTAGACAGACCGACCAAATTAAGTTAAATAAAAAAATAATATCCAATGAAGTGGATTTTGTAAATTTTTGGACACCACTTACTGGGTTGTATGTTTCTGAAACTGGATATTGTCCTGCGACAGTCATCGCTTGACTCTCAAGCTGTTTGAGAGAATCCTGCTGACTATCTATTTTCTGCAATTCTGTTTTGAAATAAGAACAGATATCTTCTTTCTTGGTTTGTAAGTTTGAATTCAGCTCTGATTCTTTTTGGTTCAAAGCTGATCTCAGCATACTGAAAGTGTCCATCACTACTTGCCAGTCATTTCTGATCTCTTCCTATAAAAATTGAAATGATGAAACTAAACAACAAATAAGAGAACCTTAGGGTACTATCTTGCTGCTATTGAAAATTCTTTTTAAAGATGAAATCTTTAAAATTATATTTCGCTAAATTCAACCACAAAAAACTTCCCAAACTCAGATTTTTGCTCTACTAGCTCATGTGCATCAGCGGTACTCCAGGGGCTATGCTCAAATATTATCAAACAAACATTTCATTCATCATTACTTAATATCGTTGAAAATAAAGAGTCATTGATAGTTCAGTGAAAGTCAAGCAACATCATCTTCATGAATCAATGGCGAAAAAATCTGTTGAAGCATTTAGTATCCAGTATCGCAAGAAAAAAATCTTATTTTACCCACAAAACAAAGTGATTGTCAAATTTATCAGGATTTCACTTGCCTCAGCACTGTTTTGACAGACAATAAGATCTTGTTGAGCACTGTCAAGGCAATTCTTCAGTTTAGTTATCTTTGGCAAGACTGACTGCTTCACTTCATCCTAGAAGAATGATATCAATCCTAGATATAGCTTGTTGAATACAAAGTGTGTGCTTTAAATCACTGACATTAAAGCTCTATTTATTAAAGAAGGAAAATGTTTTAACATTAAACTGAGCAAAACTAACACAAAAATGTTCAGTGGATAACCTGAATGCTAAAAGCTGCAGGCAGCTAACTCCCATCATATTTATTAACGAGGCTTACAAGATATTAGTTCCTAAGTAAAGATCAGGTAAACATTTACACCAGAAAAGATGTTTCAATTTTTGTTGTCAAAACTTCCATTTCATTTGAACATTCAATACAATGTCATTTGAGAATTGATTTACCTTACAAGACATTACTTTATCCTCTAAATCCTGGGTGTGATGGCCTTGGTGATCAACGAGGCATTTGGTTCATAACGCTCGGTCACAGGTGTTACAAAACACACTCAGGGATTTCCTATGTACCTGGCACACTACACCTTGATTTTCATGTCTTGATCCAGCTTCTGTTTCTGTAGTTTCAGGCTTGCGGGATTGAAACCTACTAATTATATTTGCTAAAACAAGATTCTTTGGTAGTCTAGAAATGAGTTGATCCTTTAGTTTGAAGGCACATCTACACGAGGGGCAGTGGAACTGTGTCCCCTTCGCTGTGGAGGTGTCTATGTGTTGCTGTATGTGGATGTTTAGACACTCCCGACAGAAGTTGTGCTGACAGGGTAAACTAACTGGATCCTGGTACAACTCCAGACAGATAGGACAGGATAGTTCCTCTTCTAGTCCCATGTCTGCCATTTCCTCTATCACACAGGCCTTCCCCCATCAATCTGAACCAAAATACAAGATGTATGAAATTCAGGAAACTAGAATATTTACATTAGATTGATTATTTCTGGAAATTTAATTCCTGATATTCCAGTTTTCTTCCCAAGTTAATCTTAAATGATCTATCATGTTAAACAACTTTCTATCTGTATGGTCATAGATTGCAAATCATGTAAATGTAAAAACTCCAATGCACTCATTGTTATTATTTTGTAGTGATAATGGAGACAGGGATATTTAACAATTCATTCAATCGCAGGATAACAATATTCATATATTTTCTACATTTATCAAATCAACCGGGTATAACAGACCATCAAGACCATTTGTTAAAGATTTGGTAAGGTCTGAGGTATGGAAAGCTCTTGTATTGTTTCAACAAATCTTATTGTGTTAACAAAAGGATTAGACAACAGGCAGTGCCTATATAAGTCTTTTCCTGAACCGGTACAACATATATACATTTACAAGAATAATAAGGTATATTTGCAAAATTATCGATAATTAATTACTTATTGAGATTATTGAAGGAGATGGACAAATATATGGAAAATATGTATATACATTGAACTACACACACTAATATCAAGGCTCACTCTTCTACCAGATGCGTAGATGTCTAGGTCACTTTCGATGTTATAGTACAAGTACTGCGCCACTGGCAACATACATACTTCTATACCCACACGCACACACACGCACACACTCGGAGCAGATTGATATAACGGGAAGTATTAAATAAAAATATACTAATCATATTCGAGTTAAATGAATCTATTAGTTAAATTAATTAATTTCTCAACTTTAGATAATATATAAGTATTAGTTTCTGGTGATAGCTCATTATCTCCTGATGTAAGTAATTTGAGACTAATACATCCTACTACATTATATACTTCATAAAAATCACGTCTGAAATCAGAATAATTTGGACATAAAAAGAAAAAATTATCAGCATCTTCACGGGGTGCTCCACAAGAACAACTGCCATCTTGAATAAGGTGGTCAGTAAATTTATCGAAGTTTAAGTCACTTGCTTTGTGCCTGATTTGACAAAGTATTATATTAAGATTCCTAGGATTGCACTGTTTAAAGATCAGGGAAATATTATCTACTTGATTATTAAAATAGTTATTTAGTCTATATTTGAACGAAGTAAGGGAATTAGCAGATGTTATAGAAGAATCTAATAAGTTCCATAAGTTCATTGTATCGGGAAAGAAACTAGTGTTGTAGATATGAGTTCCGAGCTTAAGGTACATTAAAGAATCTAGTATGTCTTAATCCATATGGGTAATTAGCATTATTAATAAAAGGTACAATAATATTATAAAGATAGTCAGGTGTAAAGCGGTTTATTATCTTATACATTAGAACTTATTTATGTTTAAAGCTCTTGTATCAACCCTTCTATATCTGTATATATGTTATGCTGCTATGCCAACATGTTGAGGGCCCCCTTTTGCATATCTAGTTCAATCGATTTGTCTGTTTTTAAATGTAACATTTTTTGGTATAAATCCTAGCAGACCTGCAAATGTTTATGCAGGCCTTGTACGGCTTTGTCAAGGCTCGCCTGAAAGCAGCATAAGATTGTTAGGTTAGACCTTATTTCATGAACGAACAACTCTGGTCCAACCAGTTCAACATATGGATCATAATAAACAACTGCGGACTGGGTCTCAAAAGTGTTAATCCATTTAAACCAAGGACAAGTGTTAAATATATCACCAATAAAACATAGCAGAACAAATAGTATCTTGCTGGGCACTAATTACTCCACTTAAGGCACTCAGTGTTAGCCGAGATATGCATGTAACAGAATATTGCCTGTTTTTGGGGGTAGAATTTGTGTAGCTGTTGATGGATTTGGGTCAAAGTCTTATAAATAAAAAAGTTTATTATGACCACTCCTGTGATGCTGAACTCATACATCAAGTCAAGGTCTTCCAGTTGTTAACAGAGGGTACACGCATTTCAGTTTACTTCCCATTAGTTGTTTTTATACATTAACAAGAGATCCCAGAGGGATCTTGGTGCCCACCATTGTACCATCTTCGTTAGTTCTATGTCAGTGCAATCTTTTCTCTTCTTTTCTCTTATCTGTTTGATCAGTTTGCCTGTCTGCAATCTTAATAAGTCTTTTGTTCAACCTCAAAAGTTAATTTGAGAAAGATCCCTCCAATACTTTTTGAGCACTAGGGTTAAAAAACGTTTACTTCCAAATTCAATACGACCACCTGCCAGTCATTTTTTTTTTGTAACTTAAAAATTGTATTCAGATTTTTCAAACACAAAAAAAATCCACCAGGCCCTAGAAGCAATCACACGTGTTCTGAGAACATGTTTTAATCTGATTATTACCAAGTAAAAGTTTCACTAAATTGCTAATGATAAGACTGAAAGGCCCTTAAGGTTCAACAAGCCCTCAATAGATGCTGTAGTCACCTAAAATTCCAACCCCCTAGCTGATAAGTCATATTCAATGACCTCAATTAAAAATGGGAACTTATATTATGTAATTTGAATATATAGAACTTGTATATTGGCTATTAAAAACCCGTCGACACTTCTAATAAACTACAAGAATAACGTATTGCTCCTTCGCCTGTTGTGATTGAATCTATTTTATGATGTTCTCACTTTTACTCAATCCCCTGCATACTTCGGGTATCCAGACGAGGAGCAAAGGACCAACTTATTCCACCATTAAGAAAACCACGGCGTTGGCTCTACCCTTGCCTTGGCTATTAAAAAATACATAGCCATGTTAACATAGTCAAAAATAAGGCATTAAAGCTGATATCATTATAAAAATAGCTCAGCGGATTTATAACATGTCAATCTCTTTTGCGACCCAACTGAGTGCTAAGAAATGACCCACAAACTAAAGTTTATTTATATGCCTAGGTCACGCGGCGCTTTATTTCTCTTCTCTCTCCTAGCTGTTGATAGCAATTCCTACCTCAAATAATGATAGATGTTGCCATGCGAAACCACTTAAATCATAGTAAAATCCCCTAATAATATATTTTAACAGATTATAAATAAGAAAACAATGGCTAAGTATCTTTAATAGATAAATGAACTTTGGATGATGTGCCATTTAATAACATTCTGTGATGTTATAAATGCGCTAGGCATGTTATAAATATTGAAGCTGAAAAGTGCTATAATGGTTATAACATGTCTATTTTTTATAAAAACATTTCCATAGCAATACTCATGTACTTTTGAGGCCGGTAAGCCTCTCCACACCTAGTTAAAGAGAAATTAAGGTCTGCATGTCCTAGGTATATAAATGAACTTTGAATAATATGTCATTTCAGAGATTGACATGTTATAAGTCGAGTGAGCCATTTTTATGAAGACATCAGCCTTGATGCTTTATTATTGACTCCGTTAACCTGGTGCTGTATGTTTTAAGTAGCTTGTGTAAAAGTCCAATATATCTAAAATTACATATATATATATTACTATTTTTAATAAGGGTCTCTGAATATGACTTACCAGGGGTTGAAATTTAGGGTGACTATTACATCTTTTAGGAGGCTTGTTGAACATTAAACGATTATCTAAGGCAACACGATATATTAATATGTTCCGTCGGACTAAAATTTTCAAGATTTTTTTCTATTTCTTTCCATTTTTATGATTGATACGGACAGTCAATATTAATCATAAAAAAAGAAGTCAATGAAAATAATTTTTTTTAGTGTATGCTTAAGGATGTACACCTCTGAGAAGTCAAAAAATCCCTTTATTAAACTTTTTTTCTTATATGGATTTTGGAAAAAGGAGCCAATGGCATAGTAGAAAATGCAAAAATAAAAAATGTCCGTGTGGTCGTTTTTGTGCTATGATCTGTCAAAGATACCAATTTAACACAACATGTGATTTTAGATGATTTTTTGGGTTTTGACCATTTGCAGAACAAATTCATACAATTTCTTCCAAGCGTGTTATCAGATATGTATGAATGTTTGTAGAATTGATGACAATATTATTTTCTTTTAAATTATGGTAGTAAAATTTGTTAATCTTATTCTTTTAACTCAGAAAGAATGAATGAAAAAAACACATTTTTTTACCATTTTTTGCAGATTAAACGCTTGATATAAAAAGATCTGCAATTTTTTTTTTTTTTTTTTTAATATCTATTGAATTAAAAGAAAACGTGTTTCTCTTTCTAAAACATCCACAAAAATGGGTGGTAAGTGTGCTTCTTTTTTTGTCCCATTATCATTCGTGTGATTTTTTACCTTTTTCGGGGTCAAAAATCAAAAGTGCTTCAGTGACACTAAATATGTAAAAAAAAATATCAATAATGTATAATTTTCCAGTTTGTTGCATATTATTTTTATCATATTAAACATTATAAAGTTGTACAGTAAAATTGAACCTGCTACAATTAAAAATGGCGACAAAATGACAACTTAAGAGAAATCGAGTGTCAAAAAAGGTGAAACTCGTTACACCAGATCAACACGAGACTTGAACGTGATTGAAACCTCTGAAGATTACATCCTTATTTAAGCATACAAGTATACATGTATGCTACGCCATAGTCCGTATTATTCTGACGTTTTGTCGACTTTTTTTTATATCGGTAGCTGGCGTCGATTAACGTCAGAACTGTGTGTGACAGTGACAATTTGTTTCTAAAATATCAGTTTGAAGAGCGACACAATTACGCGGGAAATAAGCGACCCGCGCAATTGTGTCGCTCTTCAAACTGATATTTTAGAAACAAATTGTCACTTTCACACACAGTTCTGACGTTAATCGACGCCAGCTACCGATATAAAAAAAGGGGTGTGTTTTACTGTTATCGACGCCAGACCGATATAAAAAAAGTCAATAAAACGTCAGAATAATACGGACTATGGCACTATTTCATATCTAAAGTTCAATTTATTAGTACTATACGTCTCTGGCAAGATTGAGGCAGTAAATATAACAGCATTGAAGAGAACGGGTTGTTTCGCCCCAAATCCCGTTCGCCCTAAAAAATAAATAAATTCGTAAGTCATAAATATCATGTTAAAACTTTAAAAACTTATCTTTCTCTTGAGTCAAGATAAAATGACGTGCCGGAAGATGAAGAACGAACCTGTATATTCATCACCGAAGCCGACACCGGACATACTAATATCAGGAATATATATACTGCATATGATCATTTTCATATCATTACCTTAATTATATGGACATATAATGAAACTAAATTAATTTCTCTAAGTACAATACTTATAATATATAAATTAGGTATGGACATATAATGAAACTAAATTAATTTCTCTAAGTACATAGATACGTATACGAAATGGACATAGATTAGGTACAAATTGCGTATAAGAATGAAAATAAATTAATACTTTCTCTAAGTGCAATACTTATATATAGATAAGATATGGACATAACGTAATGTTGAATTATAACACAGTATTGAGAAATGCCCTATTTATGACAAGTTACCTACTCAAAATTATCTACTCAAATATGGATATGAAGTTTTGTTGTTTCCTAGAAATTTGGTTAGCTTAAAGATTTATTTGTAATATTTCATAAACAACAAAATTATGCTTCATAAGAGTCCGCTAAGTTACCTTAGGAAAGGCTTAAAGTTTTCCCCAACTTATGATTATTTCATGAATTTGTAATTATTATGTATGGAATTGAATATATTGCATATGTTCTCCGCCAAAGTACAAGATATTTGTAAAGTATTTATCAATATGTACATTTCTGTACGCCTATATGCGATGTGCATTTGGTAATAAATTGAATTGAAATTGAAATATAAATTTGTATTGGTCGGTACTATCAAAACATCTCAAAATGATCTCCAATTAGCAAAAAACAACACAGATGTGCACAGATCTAGAAATCAAGTAAAGAAAACATTGTCACACGGCGACGATTATGTGTACACTAGACTAAATATGTTAACATGGAAAAATAATATTGTTGTATACCCCGCAATGTAATTAAAATTACACCGTTTTTGTTTCATTTCACTATTCTTATCTATTTCAACACAAACACATCTTTTTAATAAAACTGATTTTAAATATATGGAAGACTAAGAAGACTTAATTTGTGACTTAAAACAAATACAAATGAAAAGAAAATACAAAACAATGTTTCGCCCTAAAAAGTTTGTTTTAGGGCGAAACAACCTAGGGCGAAACAATCTAAGGCGAACGGGATTTGGGGCGAAACAACCCGGAACCAAAAAGAGCTAGGCTATAAAATTACATTTCGGTAAATTTTGCCCATTTTTTCCAATCTTTTTCATTTTTTTCCATATCATATCGAACAAAAATTATCATACATGTATATATAAATGTATGTAGCGGGCGGGATATATTAATGTGTGTGTGTGTGTGTGTGAAGAAGGGATCAAAATGTCTAGAATTCTTTCAGATACACTCCTAGACCAAGTGTTGTCCGAACGCCTTGTTATACAAATCTGCATATAAACGTCAATTAACGATAATTAAAGCAGTATAACAGGTAAAATCATTCAAATCAGTAGCTATTTAGGACGAACCTCTCGGTAGTTCTTGTGAGTGCATGTTCATAGGCCTAGGGCACCTGTCCTTGGTACGGAAGTACTTATCTAAGCCCGTGGACTTACAGGAAACTGGAAACAGGGAAAGCGAAAGTAGGCCCAGGCGGAAAGAATGCAGTTTTGTTACAACTTATTTTTGTTTTGATTTTGTTTTCGTATGTTCCTAGTAGCTTCTAATCAAAATGATCAACCAGTCCTTCCAAAATCGATTATTCAAACCCTTTATCAATTATAAAAAAAACCATACCTTCCAGTTTTTTTGAGCCTTTATCGAGTTTATCAGATATTTGGCAACCGGAAGTCACTTGTAGCACATATAAACATTTTGAAATAGGCCTAGCGGGAAATCGCACATTTTGTCAACGAAGCTGTATAAAAAACAACACAGAATACAGAGAAAGATATGGCTGAACAGCTGATAGCAGGGGCTCTCGAGGTATTGGAATGTTTCGTAATGACAGAAGTTGCTTAAAAAATATGCTTATTTGTTAAATCTCTGCCAGCCAAACATCGACGTTCAAATTTCAGTTTAATTATGTTTTCCAATTTCAGTTCAGTTATATACCATGAAAGACAACAAATAATTCAAAGTGGTCCGGCGAGGGTGGGCAACAGTTGTCGTATTGGTCATAATGCAAGTCAACAACGTTCACTGCAGCCCTTTTTCACTACAGGTTCGAACATTGGATGTAAAGTGGCAAGACAAGCAATTGATACAGTACATGTATTTAGTTACACTCAATAATGTGTTTCAAATATGTAAATTATTATGTTTTTATCTATGGAATGTAGTAATTTGCAATAGTAAAAGTATAGGTTTTATAGTAATGATATTTATAGAATTGTTTAAAGAATGCATTTATAACCTTTTGGAAAAGATAACTAATTACATACATTCAAGTTACAGATTTAGAAATTAGTAGATTAATAAATATCATTGTATATGTACAATTGATAGGGTAAAATAGATGTTATATAATAGCATTTGTCAATAGAGTTGTTTCCCTTTTACTATGTTATGTATGCAAGTATGTGAAATATGTTCGGTTGCATGTAAGATTTATATGTTGTATTTGTTTGGTCAACAGGGTTTTTAAGAGTGGAATAAATATATCCAAAGAATACCCGGATCCTAGTTGTGATTGTGAACCCGATAACACGTAACCAGCTAAAACCACAAGCGGAAAGACAAGTTTGGTATATCATCACTGAAGAATGATGGCAAGCTGTACTCCGATCCAGTAGATAAGGCCAACCTTCTCAACCAACAGTTCCAGTCCGCCTTCTCTGAAAAGACCATCTTTACTGAAGAAGAATTTCAAACTTTCCCTGCATCTACAACACTGAGATCATCATCCACGGGATTGACAAGCTGCTCCGGAACCTCAAGCCACACAAAGCACCTGGTCCTGGACCAGATAACATCTCGCCACGTGTATTGAGGGAAACACACGAAAGCACTACCCCACTGCTCCACTTACTATTTCGGAAATCCCTAGCAACAGGTGTGATACCGGATGACTGGCGCACTGCTAATGTAACCCCCACCTTCAAGAAGGGACATAAGTACGATGCATCTAACTATAGGCCAAGTTCCCTCACCTCTGTCTGCTGCAAAATTATGGAGCACATCCTGACCACTACCAACACGACTCACGGAGAAAGAAACAACATCTTCTATGATGAACAACATGGCTTTAGAAAGGGAAGATCATGTGAGACCCAACTCATTGAATTTGTGGATGACATCACCAACAACCTTCAAGCAGGCCAGCAGACTGACATACTCATCCACAAACTCAGCGATTACGGAAAACGCGGAAAAATCAACTCCTGGATAGAAAACTGGCTAGCTGGAAGGACACAAACTGTCGTCGTGGAAGGTGAGAGCTCCACCTCGGTGGAGGTGGACTCTGGTGTCCCCCGGGGCTCTGTCCTAGAATCGAGTCTCTTCATCTATTACATCAACGACCTGCATGAGTCTTTGAAGTCCACGATCAGACTCTTCGCAGATGACACCATAGCCTATCTCACCATTACATCAGAGGGCAGCGGTAAGACCCTACAGGAGGACCTCGATAAGCTGGCCCTTCATCCCAGCAAGCTACAGGCCCAATACCATTACCCTAGGCCTTTTGGTTATTGAGAAGAAATTGTTTAAAGTAAAATGTTGACGCCGGACGGACAGACGGACGACGGACCCCGCAACACAGCATAAGCTCACTTGGCCCTTAGGGCCAGGTGAGCTAAAAATCTAAAAAAAGTATTGGTTTACTTTTACCAAGTGCATGTGGTGTCAAGCAGGGGTTGTACAGTGTTTTAATGGATTTTAAAGAAGCTGCTACAATTCTTTTACCTACAAGATTCAAATATTTTTATTTTTTTGTGTTGATGTCTTCCTAGTTCCATGTGTCATCATGTACACACTGTGATTTTCCATGTGTTTTTTTATGGTATCAATCTACTGTACATATGAAATATTAACATGTTGTTTTTCCACAGTACATATGAAACATTACATGCGATAAACTTGTTTTTAACATTCCTCTACTTTATTACTCTATAAAAATCCACTATATTTTACTGACCAGGGGGAAGGCCCTCTATCTGCCCAGTGTTAGTTTGAAAACCAAAATGCCCGTCGATTAACTCAATTTGAACTTGAAGGGAGAAGGATCACTTGGGTGTGCAGACTAACTCCTTCGGCAGTTTTGTGGTTTCATCACAACCTATTTATATGTATCAATAAAGAAGCAAGAGTGTAAACAATATTAAAACAGTAGATATGGCTTTAGATTGGTTTTTGCAAATTGTGGTTGGAATATTGCTATTAAAAGTGCCTGTCCATTTTGTGTCAATATGATAAAACAGATTTCCAGATAGAACAAGTTCCTTCTTCCCTATTTCACTCGCCTTTGCAACAGGTAATAGATCCAGTCTGGGAAACCAAAACCTCAAGCCCATACTTTAAAAGTAGTCCAACCTTGTTATCTCGACTTTAGTCGACGGGGTCGTAGGAAAACTTCGAGTTATCCGAGTGTTCGAGTTAAGCGGGTTCATAGGTATTTGGTATGAAATGTACTGTTTGGACATATAGCACTAGCAGTCGTTGATTTGTACTAATAGTCAATGCTAATAATCAATTGATGGATGATATACGTAATCAATAGGACACATACATGTTTGTTATTTTAAAATAAAAAAATACAAATAGGACTTGCTCTATTTACAAAAATAGAGCAAGTTTTTTTCCGAAAAACGTACTTTCATTTAATGCGATGAAAACGGTTTGACCATATTGCGAATTCGTTATGAAATATGGACGGGCCTATTGATTAAATGTTGATTTGGCTAGTCTTGGCAAAGTCTTTCTAGGTCTTCATTTGTATTTGCAAGTCCGTCAAGTTTTACCTCTGAAGTGTTACATTTAAAATAGAACTATCTCGCTGTCTCCGACCTCGTACTTTACGATGCGGAACAAATCACTGTAATGGAGCGTACGCATAGTTGATTCTTTAAATGAAAACACACACAAACAGATTATATCTCGAACATGTAACACATTGATTCATAAAAGCCAAACTAACTAAAACTTAAATATATAATTATTGTAATATTTATATAGCTCTGAAATCATGTTCAAACTCTGTAAATAATTAGCTCTGATTGTTCAGTTAATATTTTTTCCACATTTCATTATATTCTCTGGTTTTGCTTGGTTGTTTCATGTTAATCATTGTAAGTGAAAAGTATGAATGTGTCTATAAAGGTGTCATTATCTAGAAACTGTCAACTATCATTCGTGAATATTATGTATTATTTGCTTACTCAAGTTTTTTCTTCTCATGCTATCTGGTGATGTCCATCCTAACCCTGGACCCAGCAGATCTGATTCTACACACATTACAAATGATATTTCAATTCTTCACCTGAATATACGCTCACCTAAAAATAAGATTGAATTGATTGAATCTGAATTTTCAGAAATTGATATTCTTTGTTTCACAGTCACACTTTAATAGAGATATCAATAATAATATTTTACATCTTAACTCTGCTCCCAATATATTCAGATGTGACAGAATAGGTAGACCAGGCGGTGGAGTGATTGTTTATACAAAAAATAATGTTTTGGTTAATAGAATTTGTGACGTTGAACACAAAGATCTAGAAAACAAAGTTTTAGAAATAAGAACTTCAAACAAATGTTTTTTATTATGCTGTATTTATAGACCTCCTGACTCTCGTGTTGATTATTGGAAAAAGTTTGATGAACTTGTTGACAACCTAATTAATAAAAATTCTAATCTAGTTATCACAGGTGATATCAATCAAGACATGCTCTCTCTACATCCTAATTCTCATCTTGCTAGAACTCTTACCAAATATCACCGAAATAGTGTTGTTCAATCCCCGACACCAATAACAAATACAACCTCAACCTGTATAGATATATTTTGTGTTAATAACTTGAACATTGTACAGAGTACTGAAGCATTGGCTCCATTATGTAGTGATCATTGTCCAATTGTTTTAAACTTAAGTTTTAAAGTTATCAAAGAGAGATCCTTCAAGAAAACTATTTACAAATTTAAGGAAGCCAGATGGGACCTAATTAATAAAAGTCTTCAATCTGAGGACTGGGAATTAATTATAGGTGAAAATAATGATGTTGATGAAATAAATAACTTAATTATTGATAAAATAAAAACACTGACTGATGTTCACATCCCCTTCAAGACAATTAGAATCTGTCCGAATGATAAAACCTGGATGACAAATTTAATAAGGTCTAATTTGAGAAAGCAAAACAGATTACATAGAAAAGCAAAAAATACTAACAAGGATAGTGACTGGCTCAAATTTAGAAACAAACGTAATGAATGCATTGACTTAATTAGAAAAGCTAAAGACGTTTACCTTAAGAAATTACAGGATTTTTTATCAGATAAGTCAATACCTCCAGGTAAGTGGTGGCGTATTGCCAAATCAATAAGGTACATGTCTAACTCTTCTAATGCCTCTCGTCCCTTACGAGTTGGTGGTAACGTTATGATTCATCCTATTGACAAAGCAGAAGCACTTAATAATGTTTTTGCTTCCATTTCTAACTCTATTGATGATAGATACAGACTTACCTCCCCTTAGTTACCTTGATTTTAATAATATTATCATTACAGAAGATCAAATATCAATTATAAAAGTCAAGAAACCAGCTGGACCAGATAATCTGTCGCCCATTATTGTAAAAAATCTCTTACCGTCCCTTGTGTTACCACTAAAAATATTGTTTCAAAAAACTATTACTCTTGGAAAGATACCCTTATCATGGAAATTGTCTAATATAAATGCACTATATAAAGGTAAAGGAGGAATGGAAAATCCTAGTAACTATAGACCTATTGCTATAACTTCTTGCTTTATTAAAATTCTAGAAAAAATCATCTTTAAGTATTTATTTAATCATGTTACTAAATATCATATAATAAGTTAACATCAATCTGGATGTCAACGTGGTGATTCAACAGTTAACCAATTACTATCCCTGTATAATATTATCTCAAAAAATCTTGATGAAGGAAAAGACATTAGACTGGTATTTTGTGACAGAGTATGGCACAAAGGTTTATTGCATAAACTAAAGAAATATGGAATTAAGGGGAATCTGTATAACTGGTTTGAAAATCATCTGTCGGATAGGAAACAAAGAGTGATTTATGAAGGATATTCTTCTAGTTTCAAAAATATTACTGCCAGTGTTCCTCAAGGGTCTACACTTGGCCCCTTTCTTTTCTTACTGCTCATTAATATCACTAATGAAATTCATACTCATATTAAATTATTTGCCGATGATACGTCATTACATGTAATTGTTGATGAAGATGTGGTTGCCCCATGTATGGATCTAAATGAAGATCTTGACTCTATTAGTAATTGGGCTAACCAATGGAAAATTAAATTTAATCCAAATAAAACTGTTGCATTAACTGTTACAAAAAAACCCGGAATCATACTCCACTTCTCTTTGACAATCAAATAGTAAATGAAATAACTAATTATAAACACTTAGGTCTTTTATTCAACTCCAAAGGTTCATGGAGTAATCACATCCAAGAAATCTATGAAAAAGCATGCAAAAGATTGAATATTTTAAGAACACTCAAATACAAAGTTGACAGAAATGCTTTAATAACACTATATTATTCTTATGTAAGACCTATTCTTGAGTATGCAGATGTTATTTGGAACAATTGCACTATTGGCGAAGCGAAATTATTAGAATCTGTACAAATTGAGGCCATGAAAATAATAACTGGATTACAAAGTGGAACATCTCATCAGAAACTATATTCTGAGACTGGGCTTGAACTGCTCTCTTCTAGGCGTCATAAGCACAAACTTATTTTAATGTTTAAAATCCTAAATCATATGACCCCAGTATATTTACATGACATTGTTAAACCTTATATTAATGATGCTGTTCCATCTCATAATCTTAGACAACACAGATTTTTTAATATTCCTCGCTTTAGATCTAATTTATTTGGCAATAGTTTTTTTCCAGATGTCATGAGAATATGGAACTCGCTTGATTCTGAAATAATCTTAGCACCATCATTAAATATATTCAAATCTAAATTGAATAATGAAAGAATCCCTCTTGTAAATATTACTTCTGTTTTTCTCAATTGTAGCCCTAGAAAGTTAAATGTTATCCTCTACCAACTTAGAAATAATGCCAGTGACTTAAATTATGACAAATTTGCTGACCATCTTTCTCCGGATTCTTCCTGTTCATGTGGTCGTCGTATTGAAAATTTTGAACACTTCTTCTTCACTTGTCCAAATTACTCTAATTCCAGGAACTTAATCCATGATATGTATACCAGAGTTGGCTACTTAAATGTTCATCTTTTGACATCTGGAATTACTGACTTACCTTCTGAAATAAATATACTGATATTGTCTAATGTTGAAAAGTACATTATTGCATCTAAACGGTTTGGATGATGTAACTAAATGTTTAAATATTTTCAAACTATTATATATGGTGGTATTTTTTTTGCATGTATATATATAATTAAATGAATTATTTTCTGTACTTAACCTAACTCAATCATAATTGTTGATAGTTGCTAGTCAATTTAGATAATTGTATGAATGTATGATTGAGTGTATGAGTTTAATACAATAATATAAATAGCTTGTTAATTACATGTATATATATAATGTCATACTTACACCATCTTGGAGAAGATTTATATAGGCCTAGCCTGTTATCTTATCCATTTATATATGTTAATATATATATATAATAAAATTTGTTAAAGCTAAAGCTCAGATGACCTAAAAACACTGAAACATTTCGTACAGGTGTAATCTTACCAAACATTTATCAACAAAATTAAGAATAATTCACAACATGTGGTAAAACTTAGTGTTACAATGCTCCAAGGTAAGTTAACATATCAATACTCTCATGAAAAATATTGTGACTGAACAAAATTCACCAGGAGGATGGTTGAGTGGAGGTTTGAAGTAGTCAACATGAGGCCCAATGGGCCAGCATCACTCATTTGCTATTAATCTCACACTTCTTACCTATAAAGTGGACGTAAGTCAAATATATCTAAATGGACTAAATAAAGCTAGACTAATTATCTTTACCTATGACCCTTAGTTATTCAACAGAACCTGTTACAAGGTTTGACCCCATTGACCTTGAAAGTCTGACTTCGTAGTCCTTAATACCAGTAAGCTACTGACCAAATATCATCACCCTGTGACTTTTTTGTTATTGAGAAGTTGTTAAAAGATTTCTCACATTTGACCCGTGTGACCTTGAACATCGGGTTAGGCCAATTATTTGAACAAAATTGATAGTGCTTCACTCTTGAATGCTACTGACCAAATATCATCACCCTCTGACTTGTGTTATTTTACAACAATTTTAGAACAAGTTACTGGTATTAAGATTCGGATTCTTTATTAGCCGATTGCCATACGACTCATAGGCGCAACAGTAATACAAGTACATAGAGCAAGTCTGACCCCCCCCCCCCCCCCCCACACACACACACACACACCCAAACACACACACACACACACACACACACACACACACCACACATCTACATACATAATTAGGAGAGTGATAACGAAATACTTGAACACATTATAATACAAGCGTACATGCATACATAATCAGTAATACTTCAATACTAAATTACTAAATACTAAAGACTACAATTATAAATACTAAATACTTGAACACATTAAGGGTTTTCACGTTTCCTCGTAGCATAATATAGGTATTTCCCAGTGTTACATAGTTCTTTGACATTATTTACACTCAATTTTTTTTATTAATTTGAACACACTTGGATTTCTGTAGTAAAACTCTTTTATATATCTAACCCTTAACTCTTTATAATATGAACACTTCAATATGAAATGAAATTCATCCTCTACATCACCGTCATTACATCTGTTACACAATCTATTTTTTCTACCAATTTTTCTACGACGTCCAGTCTCTATATTAAGATAATGCACAGATAATCTAAACCTAGTAATCATGTTTATATTTTCTTCAATAGGCTTACATAAATAATATTGTATACCAAAATTATCAGCAAGATATTGGTACAAAAATCCTTTAGATGAGATTTTAATTCTACTAAGCATATTTTGTTTATTTACGTCTTATAATCTTTGTTTTATTACATTATATGCAGCAGATACAGGTAAATCATTTTCAAACATTTAAAATTTTCTTACAAAATGCTAAATGTACCTTCTCTATATCATATGCATTATGGAATCCCCATATTACTGATGCATAGCCAAGGATACTACTAATATATGTATCAAAGACAGAACAACGCGTTTCTATATTTAAAGAATAGTTTCTTACAGAAGACATTAGTGAAAATAAAGCCTTTCTACCCTGGTCTGCTGAATGTTTCTTTAGTTTTTACCATTATATTTCATCAGAACACATAAATACTTAAACTCGTCAACAACTTGCAGTGGTTTTTTTATCATTTGTCCACCGTTCGTTGTTTTTTTAAATTTCCACCGTTTCTAAAGCGGAGGCAACACGGGGAACGTCGATCTTTTTCGAGGCTTTCAAAGTACTGGAGAAATGGGAGAGTTCCCTTTCTACGCCCAAAGAGGAGCGGTTAACGGAAGTATGCCTGGAGCGCCCGGGGGTTTCCATCCCTCCTCAGCAGGACCGGTCAACAAACAAAACTCGACCTGTTTCTACTGCTACGGGGCCGGACACTGGGCAAGCAACTGCCCGAGGAGAGTCAGAACCACCCCAACCCACACCCAGAGTGTCCCCGCAATCAAACAATGAAGATCAGAAGATGGTAAGCTATCATTTGAATGAAGTCGTATCTGTAAAAAATACGTTTGTAAATCAAAATGGATTTGTTAAAGGCAGTCTCAAATCTTGTCTGAAGTTTTGGAAAACATGTCTAAAAGCTAGGGATTATGTCTGTAGTGTAGTTGAATATGGGTATTTAATTCCGTTTATTGTGGAACCTGAGTCGAAAATAATGAAAAATAATAAGTCGGCGCTTACGCATAGTACTTTTGTCAGTGACGCTATTTCTGAATTGCTCGCGAGCGGTGTAGTAGATGAGTGTGTGTCGCCTCCCTACGTAATTAACCCACTGTCGGTTTCTGTTAACAGTAAGGGCAAGAAAAGACTTATTTTAGATCTAAGATACGTCAATCAGTATGTAGCAAAACAAAAGTTTAAACTAGAGGGTAGCAGAGAAGCACTAGAATACGTACAACAGGGGTTTTTCGGATTTAAATTTGATTTAAAGTCAGGATATCACCATATTGAAATGCATCCAGATCACATAAAGTTTTTGGGGTTTTCTTGGACAGTTGGAAATAAAGTGAAAAATTTCGTTTTTAAATGTTTACCGTTTGGCTTGTCTTCGGCGCCACATATTTTTACGAAAATGTTGAGGCCTCTAGTCAAAAAGTGGCGGTCGGAAGGTCACATGATGATCGTTTACCTTGACGACGGGTTAGGAGTTGCCCAGTCAATTTCTGCTGCGAAAACTTTATCTGATATGGTTCGTTCCGATTTGTTGTGCGCTGGTTTCGCACCGAATCATGAGAAAAGCGTCTGGACGCCAGTACAGAAATTAGAGTGGCTAGGTTTCATATGGGACTTTGTAGGCGGTGTAATAGAAATAAGTGTCTGTAAAAGATCTGAGATTAAAAACTTGGCTAATGAGCTCATCGGTGAGACGAGCGCAGTATCCGCGCGTGCCGTAGCTGTTTTTACAGGTAAGGTCATATCCGTGTCGCTTAGCCTGGGACGCGTATGTAATTTTCATACGAGGGAGTTACACAAGTGTATATGTCACCGTACCTCTTGGGATTCGCCGATGTGCCTGTCAGATCAAGCTTTGCATGAGTTGCAATTTTGGGAGCTAAATGTCCTTAGTTTACCTCCGAGTATATTCAACCTTAACACACACGCAGTTGACCACGATCTTCATATCTTTACTGACGCTAGCGCTATCGCGGGCGCAGGCTACTGTGTTGAGCTAAACGAGCACATCTCTCACGTCATGTGGAATAAAGATGAGTCCGGGCAAAGTTCTACTTGGCGAGAAATTAAAGCAGTAGAGCACACTTTATTAAGTTTTGGACAAATTTTGGCCAATAAATCGGTGTTACTTTGCACCGATAATCAGAATGTGCCCCGTATATTAGAGAAGGGAAGCATGTGTATTCACTTACACAGGATGGCAGTGAGCGTGTTCGAATTCCTCAAATCAAATAACGTGTCTTTGTCTATACAATGGATTCCCAGGGGATCTAATGTTTTAGCTGATCAGTTTAGTAAGATCTTTGATTTTGACGATTGGGCAGTAGAAGAGAGTACATTTTTGTATTTTGATAGAATATGGGGCGAATACACCTGTGATCTTTTCGCAGATAACAACAACAAAAAAGTCACGTGTTTCTTTTCAAAGTACGCTTGCGTAGGTTCAGCTGGAGTAAATGCGTTTGATTTTGATTGGTCCAAATTTAACTGCTGGGCGGTTCCACCCATTTACCTTATCGCTAGAACTGTCAATCATTTCCTGAGGCGTAGAGCGCACGGGACTTTGGTCGTGCCTCATTGGCCATCGGCGGCCTTTTGGCCTTTGTTGTCATTCAGGGGTGGTAAATCATTCAAGCCGTTTGTTATGGAATGTGCTTATTTTGTAAAACCCGCCATTTTTTTCCGTGCAGGTTCCCACTCTGAAAGTATTTTTGCAGAGAAAGTCTTCCATTCCAACGTGTGTGTTTTAAGAATAGATTGTCGGTAGACATATTATCTGCGGCGTCGAGTACCCGTACAGTTTTATACATTCACATTACTATAGATTTTGTGTAACGTTAGGTTACTATAGTCAATGATTATCACTTCAGTGTAAAATTATTAAGTGTAATAGGTGGTTATCATCTTTATGTACAGTTATGGTTGTATAAACCAGTGGTTGTCACTTCAGTGTAAATTTATTTAGTGTAATAGGTGGTTATCACCTTTATGTACCGTCATGGTTGTATAAACCAGTGGTTATCACTTCAGTGTAAATTTATTTAGTGTAATAGGTGGTTATCACCTTTATGTACCGTCATGGTTGTATAAACCAGTGGTTATCACTTCAGTGTAAATTTATTTAGTGTAATAGGTGGTTATCACCTTTATGTACCGTCATGGTTGTATAAACCAGTGGTTATCACTTCAGTGTAAATTTATTTAGTGTAATAGGTGGTTATCACCTTTATGTACCGTCATGGTTGTATAAACCAGTGGTTATCACTTCAGTGTAAATTTATTTAGTGTAATAGGTGGTTATCACCTTTATGTACCGTCATGGTTGTATAAACCAGTGGTTATCACTTCAGTGTAAATTTATTTAGTGTAATAGGTGGTTATCACCGTTGTGTTACACTGGCATTTTTTAGTTTTGTGTATTCGGTGGTTATCGGATTAATGTAACATTACAACTAGACAATTGTTAGCACATTTTGCAGTTTCATTAATTAGCGGAGTTATGAGGGTTTACTGGGTTAATAATTTTTGAAAAGATATAAACAATCCACAACGTTAGTAAGCTAAGTTTCAGATTGTGTTGGATCTTAATGTTAATATTTTTTTTTTTTTACTTTTTTTTTCTTTTTTTTTCTTTTTTTTTTTTACAGAACACTGTGTTATTAGGGCCAGTTTGGTCAGAGGTTGAGGATATGAAAGGCCATCCTTTGCTTTGTGAAGCAGCATCTAAATTGGAATCTGTGTTAAAGGCCAGCCATGCTTCTTCTACAGACAAGCAATACTGTTCGAATTTCGCTAAATTTAAAGATTGGTGTCGTATTACAGGCCTGGGATATCTGCCCTCTAGAAGTAGTACAGTAGCCGTATATTTGTCTTATTTGGTTCAACAGTCAGTCTCGGTATCTACCCTTAATTCACATTTCTATAGCATAAAGTGGCAACATGATTTCGCAGATTTGCCTAATCCATGTACAGACAAGTTTGTTTTAAAATCTTTAGAAGGAGCTAAACGTATTCTTTCTAAGCCTATTTTTAAAAAATCTCCCATTTCTGTGGAACATATAGAGTCCATTTTTAGAAAGTACGGAAACTCGGAAAACGTTAAGGATTTACGGTTATGCACTTTGTGCATTTTAGGATTTGCAGGGTTTTTCAGATTCAGTGAACTAGTCGATTTAAAAATGTCAAATTGCGTTTTGAAAAGTTCACACCTTGAAATTACACTTGTTCATAGCAAAACAGATGTCTATCGTCAAGGCAACGTTGTGGTGATTGCGAAAACAGGGAAGAAAACTTGTCCAGTTGCTTGTTTTGTGAAATACATTACAGCTGCCGGGTTAAGTTTTGGTGCAGATTCATACATTTTCAGAGCTGTTTCCTTTTGTAAATCTACAGGAACATATAAGTTATGTAGTCGAAATCAAGCTCTTTCTTACACTAGAGTTAGAGAGATTTTTCTGGGCGCAATTTCGGAAATTGGACTAAAAAAGTCAGAATTTGGTCTACATAGCTTGAGGGCTGGTGGCGCCACTATAGCCGCTAACAATGGCATTTCAGAGAGATTATTTAAAGCACATGGCAGATGGGCCAGCGAGAAAGCAAAGGATGGTTATGTTTTGGATGATCTTGATCATAAAATTTCTGTTTCCGCTAATCTTGGCATTTAAAATTTTATTCCTTTGATGTTCGAAATATTGCTGTACACGAATCTCGCAGGCTATTAAATTGTAAAAACAATTGTTTGGTTTATGTTATTATTGCTAAATAGATACGAAATGATTTATGTACGGATGAGGAACGAAGGAGAACATAAATGAATTTCGTTTCGTTTGTAGTGTAGTTCTTAAATTCGTGCTACAGGTGTAGTGTAGCACTTCGCACGTGCATTTAGTGTGTATTAGCATTCGACGAGATCGTTCACAGCAGTACGGACGTGTATTTATTTTTTTTTTTTTATATATAACAATATATATATGTATGTATAAATACATATATATATTATAAGGTAATAATTCATTGAGCTTTAATAGATACTGTAGAGTGGGTTGAAGGGGGTAATTTCATTTGGTATGTACTTTGCTAATTGTAACTTTTGTATTTGTAGAAGTCACGGTTGGTTGAGATATATTCATATTCCAGTGACAGTGTTTTAAGTGTGGCGTTCGGGAATGTGTATTGGACTGATTGAGTGGACTCTGAAGTACATTCCTGAATTTCGTCAAGTGCGCGAATCTTGTGAAACATGAAATATTGCTGTACACGAATCTCGCAGGCTATTAAATTGTAAAAACAATTGTTTGGTTTATGTTATTATTGCTAAATAGATACGAAATGATTTATGTACGGATGAGGAACGAAGGAGAACATAAATAGCATTGAACAGACGCTCCAGACAAGGCAACAGTATATCTTTACCTTTAATAAAAAAAATCATTAATAATAAGATCTTTGCTACAACTCTTATTAGGTTTTAAATTGTTAATTGCTTTCAAAATTTCATCTCTACTAATAATTGAATCTAGTTCCTCATATACAGCTTCCTGGTCTAAATCAGGTTCTAAAACATTCGCATCTCTGCCACCCATGAGGTTAATAAAATATTGATAAAATTCCTCATTTTCTACAACAGAGCTATTACTGGTTGTTTTTTTCTTAGCAAAAAAATTATAAAAATGTTTTGGTCTTGATCTTTTTAAACGATCCACATGTCACCTTCTTGTTGTTTATAAATACGTTTAAGCCTAAACTCCGTGAGCTTATACCGTCGTTTCGCATTTGTCAGAGCCTCCTGATATGCAACAGATTTGTTCTTATTAAAAACACTTAAGGCTCTCTTATATTCAATAAAAAAAAGTTTTACATTCTTCTGTAACCCAATGCTTATCAACGACTCTATTGTTTCTATTTCTAAACTGGGAAGGGTAGTCATTTGTACTGCTATCGTTCTTACAATAAGGCACAGTGCAATCATTTATAATATTACATATATTTGAAACACATTAGTTAACTAATAATTGACTCGACAGTTCAATATCCAATTCTTTCTCAATATTTTCAATATTCTGTTGTAATTTATCCAGAATAAGATTGGCATTTGCTTCATTCCACCTAGCTGTTTTACATTTCGATCTAACATGATCTCTGTATTTAAATATTGACACACATTTGGCTGGTCAGGTATCGGTAGCCTTATAAGTATATCAAAAGACAAGGCTGAATGATCAGATAGAGTGTTGAACTCACCTGAGGAAAAGGTTCGGACACATGTCATATATTCACAATCGACATGTAAATAATCAATAAGACTTGTACCATTATTGCTACAAAAAGTAAAACTTCCTTCTCTATCGCTTCTATGACGCCCATTTACAATGCGCATGCTGGTTGATTTGCATAATGACAACAATTTTCTTCCAAAAGTGTTAACAGTTTTGTCCATGTTATTACGTTCCGTGATAACAGAATCATTATTGTATTCAAAAACATAACCATTATCCAACCTATTTAGGCCATCATTTATAATAAAATCATACCTAGTACCTGTTCTAGCATTAAGATCTCCGGAAATATATACATTGCCATTCGTTTTATAATGACTAATAGAATCTTCGAAAACATCGATATCACGGTTATGGTAAAACACACTGTTTTCTGGTGGGAAGTAACAAAAACATAGTAATAAAGACTGTAATGTACTATTAAGTTCTAGCCAAAAAATACAATCATGCATATCTAAAAGCTGAATATAATTGGCGTAATTAATTTTATAGAAAATAACAACACCACCACCTTTCCCGGTAGTTCTTGGAAATACATAAGCATTACAACTTATATTAATCACTCTTGTTGACCCAGATGTTAGCAAGCAGGAATCTTAATGTGGGAGGAAACCAGAGTACCTGGAGAAAACCCATGTGATCGGGCAGGTGAACCCATAACTTTTCACGTCCATGGCGAAAGGCTGGTGCGTTATCCACTGTGCAACCCAACCACCCAAACACAGGTACATTTTACCCATGTGACCTTGAATATCTGGGTAGGCCATTCATTTGAACAATCTGATAGCCTTTCATTTTAGCACAATACAAGAACTTGCCAAATATCATCTCTCTCTGACTTTTGGTTAGTCGGAAGTTATTTAAAGGTTTTGACACATTTGACCCCGCGACCCTTAAAGTGGATTAAAATCATTCAAGATCACTTCAACAAACCTGATAGCCCTTCCCCTCTGCATGCTACTGGCTTAATGTTATCACCCTAGGCGTTTATGTTCTTCAAATCAAATCATTTAAAGTTTTTGACATAGAGTATCTGACCCCTGTGACCGTAAAAGTAGATTAAGGTCATTTTCATTTGCAAACTTTGACAGACTCCCTTCAAGGATACTACCAGCCAAAAAAAATGACTCTAGGCCTTTTGGTTCTTCAGGAAAAGTTGTTTGAAAATTTTGATATATTTCACCCATGACCATGAAAGTAATGTCAAGGTCATTTCTGTTTGCAAACTTTATCGGGCTCCATTCAAGGTAGATACCAGCTAAAAATTTATTAGTACTAAAACATGCCTCCTAACAGTGGAAAGTAAAATTGTTCAGTTCACTCAACATCACAGTGTATTTCGGTTCCCTGGGTTATCCCAGCATCCTTTAGTGAGCAGGTATCAGACTCACTTAATAGGTTTATCCAAAAGTTCGTACTGGTACCTCCAACTTTGATTTTCATTCGCAAATTTTTGTTATCAAAAATCTTGAAAATTCTGTGAAATTCCTGCTTCAAGAATCCAAGTGAATCTGATTTACTATAATGCTGACATGACCTTTGACCAGCACATGCAAGAACAACTTTCATTGGATAGATCTCTACACTAAGAGCTTCAGAGAGCAGTCCTTCAGATATGACTTTGTGTTTGATTGGCTTTTGTCCTTCTTTGAGCCCATACCACTTCACAATCCTTGACCATCCAGATTCATTAAGAGCAACAAAATCATATCCCTCCAACAAATTTGCACTCAAATTATCACCAGTTTCCATGATGGAAGAATTGTCTACCGGGCCCGGATTAATGCCATCTCCTTCCCTCTTATTTAAGAAAGTCTGACATTTTTCTAACCAAGCTTTTGAAACTATGTAAACTTCTGAATGTTTCTTCAATGATTTGCACACCATTTTCTTTAAAAAATCTCGCTGCGTCTTCTTGTCAGGCTGTTTAACTGTCGATTCACTCCTGGGTATGGGGATCTCAGTGTCTTCAGCTTGCCTATAAATCTCATCTGCTGCATGAATCAGTTTTGGACCCTCTGTGTTTGGTTTCACAGGATCAGTAGCGTTACTGGTTAAAGGATTGGAATGCTGCAGTTTTCCTGTTTTATTTGGTATCATTTTAGACTTTGAGTGCAAGTTAAGCTAAAACAAAAAGAGAAATTGCTGTAAAGCATTTAAGGGATTCTAAATGTACATGTAATTAATCAGTAAAATATCTTTTGAAAACATTTCTGGGATCTTCAAACTTAGAAATAGCAAAGTTAGTGAAGGGAAACGATCCAACATCACTGGTTGACAATAACTAATTATTATAAGAGAGCATAAGTCTTCCAGTGGATAAAGCATTAAGAAGCAAAATTTCCAATGAAATCACTAAACAAAATGTTGTGCTGATCCATGTTCAGTTACTGAACCTTTCCCACTGCCTTGACCTTTTGATTGGGCTATGGACCTGAGTGTATTATGTGACATACTGTCTTATCAAGATATTCTGTAAAATATTAAAAAAAAATTGCAATAATGTTGATCAGAGGTAACAGTCTGGACATCTTTGACTGCTTGTACTGACCTTGACCTTTGTGATGCAGAATTAAGAAAGTCATGCTACATGTCATGTAGTTATAGTACACAATGTAAAAGTGATGCATAACTTTTTTTTACCAGATTTGATACAGATAAACCTATGATGTTTCAAAAGAAAATGTTTTGCCAATTTGATAGTTAATACAGACAAGCTTTTGACCTTTGATCCCTTACCATGACCTTGACCTTTGAGTTACCGACCTTTTGATTATCTAGTTATGAAACACATCTATAAAGTTTTGTGAAAAAATCTTCAGGAAATCAGAATGATCTACATGATGTAGATATGGGCAGATGGATGAGTTATACCCTACACAAACAAATTCTTTGTATGTGTATTTTTGGAGGTGGGTGGGAGTGGGGGTTGCATACTAACACCAGTTATTATCGAAACACAAAAACTACAAATGCCAGAATACCTGAGAATTTCTGCTTTGGTAAAATACAACCATACTTACACCTTGCACTGCACTTTCCAAGCCGAATGAATTATCTGAGAAAACAGAATGATGACAAATTTGGAAAATTTGATGAAAAGAATATTTCCCCTTGTGTTAATTAATTTAGTTACATGTATTTCCCAAGCTTTCTCTAGATAGAACCTTTTACTTAAAAATAATTGCATCACTGCAAGGTTTGTTGGCAAACTCCAAAGAAGTATATCAACAGCAAAGCCATGAACATTGTACATATAAAGTATTTCATATTATTTAACCAACATTACACACCTAAAGTTAAAGTGAAAGTAAAACTACATTTAAACATAATTATAACAAACTCTACAATGTTCAATGTTATTATATAAATCTAGGTCCCTTCACATGCAAACTACAATCTATCAATAAAGAGACTATAATAGAGAGAGTTTATTGTACCCGATTGTTTGTTAACGGAGACATCCAACTTGTCCAGATCACTTGTCATCCTCAACAATGTGTCACATATATCTTGTTTTGAGCGTGCAGTTCGTGGATCATCTTTGTACCAGGGACCTACAGGACCTGTCTTGTAAAGCTCGGACTCCAGTTGTGCAAGCTCCTCATGTCTGTAACATATAATAGGGCACCAACTGTATGTGTTTCCCAAGTAAATACCACCAGTAACTTATAACACATAACTTTCTTCCAATTACTCCACATATAGCGATCATCTGAACTACATTCCACTTTATTCCATTTCAAATATTAAAGGCATAGAATACAAATATTGGAAATTGGTTACAACAGGAATATGCCTTGTAAAATAAAGATATGAGACTGACTTATCTCCCCTATCCTTATTCAATTTTTCACAAACAAGTCCTGTAATATAAAACTATAAAACTAAGCACAACTGAAATTTTATTTTTAGAAGGAATGGTATACAAATAAAGGTACTTAAAAGCAGCCATCACTTCGAATGCAAAACTGCTAGTGACTGATCACAATCATTTATAGAGAAGACAAAGTGGGATATACTTACAGTTCTCTGCACTTGTTGAAATCCTGTAAAGATAAAGAAAATTATATAGAAATGTAAGCCAGTACGTCCATGACCCCATAACCCATTTTGTAATGTGACTTAATGTGGCAGAGTGAATATCATTGTCCCACCTGAACAAAATAGCTAAATATGACCTTCACTCCACAACACCAAAATAGCTAAATATGACCTTCACTCCACAACACCAAAATAGCTAAATATGACCTTCACTCCACAACACCAAAATAGCTAAATATGACCTTCACTCAACAACACCAAAATAGCTAAATATGACCTTCACCTAACAACACCAAAACGTTTGGGTTCCTCAAACAGTAGAAAATCCCCTCAACCAAACTACAATCAATCTATGAAGTTTTCTGTTTCTAACTCTCTAATAACAGTAAAGAAGCGTTTTTCACACAACAGGTGAGTCACTTTGTCCTCTGGAGGTCTTGAGTATTAAGCTTCAGGGTTTCTAGGTGAAATGATACTCAGCTTACAGTCCTGAAAACAATTTTTACACTGTAAATGCTGACTTTGACCTCTAAATGAATAGGGGTTCTCCTCGTCCCAAGGCTAGGGTAGTCATTCTGAGAAATATGATGAAAGCCTGTCTGTTGTGCATACTAGGATATGGATCTGTATACTAAGTTTGGTTGAAATGGAACCAGTTTCAGATTAACCAATCAGAAAACAGTAGCCTCATTAATTGTGTGTAAATATGCATCATATTGGTGATTGAACTTAACCTTAAAACTTACCATTATGTATGTAGTATGAACAATGTACATACCTAATATGGTTAAAATTGAATCAGTTTTATGGTAGTTGTGAACCATTTAACCGATCAGAATCAAGCAGCCTCTTTAATCACGTTTAAATAAGCACACATCAAATTGATAACCAAACTTAGCCTAGATCCTAATTGCCATGATGAATGTGCAATCCAAATTTTGTTTTGATCTGATACTTTTAGGGCTGTTATTGAATGAAAACAAAAGCGTGAGAGGTGGACAGACAGGCAGACAGACCGACCAAATTAAGTTAAATACAAAACAACATCCAATGAATGGGATTTTGTAAATTTTTGGACACCACTTACTGGGTAGTATGCGACAGTCATCGCTCGACTCTCAAGCTGTTTGAGAGAATCCTGCTGACTATCTATTTTCTGCAATTCTGTTTTGAAATAAGAACAGATATCTTCATTCCTGGTTTGTAAGTTTGAATTCAGCTCTGATTCCTTTTGGTTCAAAACTGATCTCAGCATACTGAAAGTGTCCATCACAACTTGCCAGTCATTTATGATCTCTTCCTATAAAAATGGAAATGATGAAACTAAACAACAAATAAGAGAACCTTAGGGTACTATCTTGCTGCTATTGAAAATTCTTTTTAAAGATGAAATCTTTAAAATTATATTTCGCTAAATTCAACCACAAAAAACTTCCCAAACTCAAGATTTTTACTCTAGCAGTGATAAACCTACATGCGAGTCCTCAGTCCTGTACTCATAGAATTTCTGGAAATAGTTAAATTTAACATAGTGGGACTCATTGTTTTTAGCAATACAGTTGAAAAGTACTCATTAAAATAAAGTGTAGATGGATCACTGCTACCGGGTAGCTCATGTGCATCAGCAATACTCAAGGGGCTAGGCTCAAATATTATCAAACAAACATTTCATTCATCATTACTTAATATCTTTTAAAATAAAGAGTCATTGATAGTTCAGTGAAAGTCAAGCAAAATCATCTACATGAATCAATAGTGAAAAAATCTGTTGAAGCATTTAGTATCCAGTATCGCAAGACAAAAATCTTATTTTCATTTTCAAATTTACCAGGATTTCACTTGCCTCAGCACTGTTTTGACAGACAATAAGATCTTGTTGAGTACTGTCAAGGCAATTCTTCAGTTTAGTTATCTTTGGCAAGACTGACTGCTTCACTTCATCCTAGAAGAATGATATCAATCCTAGATATAGCTTGTTGAATACAAAGTGTGTTTTAAATCACTGACATTAAAGCTCTATTTATTAAAGAAGGAAAATGTTTTAACATTAAACTGAGCAAAACTAACACAAAAATGTCCAGTGGATAACCTGAATGCTAAAAGCTACAGGCTCTAACTCCCATCATATTTATTAACGAGGCTTACAAGATATTAGTTAGTTACCTAGAGTAAAGATCAGGTAAAAATTTACACCAGAAAAGATGTTTTATTTTTTGTTGTCAAAACTTCCATTTCATTTGAACATTCAATACAATGTCATTTGAAAATTGATTTACCTTACAAGACATGACTTTATCCTCTAAATCCTGGGTGTGATGGCCTTGGTGATCAACGAGGCATTTGGTACATAATGCTTGGTCACAGGTGTTACAAAACACACTCAGGGATTTCCTATGAACCTGGCACACTACACCTTGATTTTCATGTCTTGATCCAGCTTCTGAATCTGTACTTTCAGGCTTACTGGATTGAAACCTACTAATTATATTTGCTAAAACACAATTCTTTGGTAGTCTAGAAATGAGTTGATCCTTTAGGTTGACGGCACATCTACACGAGGGGCAGTGGAACTGTGTCCCCTCCGCTGTGGAGGTGTCTCTGTGTTGCTGTATGTGGATGTTTAGACACTCCCGACAGAAGTTGTGCTGACAGGGTAAACTAACTGGATCCTGGTACAACTCCAGACAGATAGGACAGGATAGTTCCTCTTCTAGTCCCATGTCTGCCATTTCCTCTATCACACAGGCCATCCCCCATCAATCTGAACCAAAATACAAGATGTATGAAATTTAGGAAACTAGAATATTTACATCAGATTGATTATTTCTGGAAATTTAATTCCTGATATTCCAGTTTTCTTCCCAAGTTAATCTTAAATGATCTATCAATATTAGTCCCTTGACAAACACATTTTAACCTTAAAAGATTTTGTATATTGTCTTTCAATTTCGGAAACAACTTTCTATCTGTATGGTCTTAGATTGCAAATCATGTAAATGTTATTTTTTCTAGTGATAATGGAGACAGGGAAATTTAACAATGAGAGATGGAAGACTTTGTTTCACAATTCATTCAATCACAGGATAACAATATTCATATGTTCTCTACATTTATCAAATCAACTGCAGGGTATAACAGACCATCAAGACCATTTGTTTAAGATTTGGTAAGGTGTGAGATAGGGAAAGCTCTTTTATTACATACTTGCTAATCTGTAACAGCCCCCGCAGTATCACACCCGAAAAACCTGTATCGGCCCGCAAAACCCATATCACACCCCTTTTGGATTATTTTTTTCGTTTTTCAATATTTTAAAAAGGAAAATAGATCATAAGATAGTAGTTTTTATTAGTAAGTATGTAATAAACAGAATAAAACACGCCTTTTTCCATAGCACACCAAGTATCAACCCTCGACCAATATCAGCCCTTGGGCTGATATTGAAGTCTCGGGTTGATACTGGGTGTGCTATGGAAAAAGGCATTTATTATTCTCTATGTATCGACCCTTCCATATCTGTATACGTGTTATGCTGCTAGGCCAACATGTTGAAGGCCCCTTTCATGTATCCCGTTCAACCGTTTGGTCTGTTTTTAAATGTAACATTTTTTGGGTATAAATCCTGGTAGACTTGCAAATGTTTATGCAGGCATTGCAAGGCTTTGTCAAGGCTCACCTGAAAGCAGCAACAGATTTTTAGATCCGAACTTATATTATAAACGAACAACTCTGGTCCAACCAGTTCATATGGATCATAATAAACAACTGCGGACTAGGTCTCAAAAGTGGTAATCCTTTTCAACCAAGGACAAGTGTGAAATATATCACCAATAAAACATATCAGAACAAACAGTATCATGCTGCTTCCTTCATGTTAACTGAGATACGGATGTTACAGAATATTGCCTGTTAATAGTTATGAGTGTTTTTTGGGTAGAATTTGTGTAGCTGTTGATGGATTTAAAAAAGTTCATTATGATCACTCCTGTGATGCTGAAATCATACATCATGTCAAGGTCTTCCAGTAATTAACAGAGGGATACACACATTTCAGTTTATTTCCCATAAGTTGTTTTTATACATTAACAAGAGATCCCAGAGGGATCTTGGTGCCCACCATTGTACCACCTTCATTAGTTCTATGTCAGTGCGATCTTTTCTCTTCTTTTTTCTTATCTGTTTGATCAGTTTTCCTGTCCGCCATGCATCTTAATCACTCTTTTGAACAACCTCAAAAGTTAATTCAAAAGTTGGACCAATAGGAACCATGGGGAACCTTCATGTGAAATTTGAGAAAGATCCCTCCAGTAATTTCTAAGAAATAGCGCTAACAAAAATTGTTTAAGGACTGACAGATTGACGTAAGGACCATGGACGCAGGGCAATTTGAGAACCTGATGATGGGGGCTAAAAATCTAATAATCTAACTTTTCAACCAATCTTGTTTGCATTTTGTATTCAGTGCGTATGTCCATGATTATATATTCAGCATTGTTTCATCTTAACAAAGATGTTATGAAACATCCTAGTTTTAGGAAACTGAAAGTACTGGATACCTGTAAATACATCAGAAAGATGAAATAAATACAATCAACCTCAAACCAGTAAGTGCATAAGGAAACAAATTAACTTTGATTCGGGCATGTCTACTAATTATAATCTAAAGACACATACAAATACTAATTGTATATAAATGATATACTAATTGTTTTCATACACCATAACACTATGGAATTCCAATACACAAAAAAATCAAAAGAGGCACCATAATTTCTAATTAAAATAAAATCACCATAAAATACATGTAACGTTATACAAACCACAAATCATCGAATTCGTCCCATTTTAGCCTCTTTTATCCTATAATAACCATATCATATCAAACAAATATGATCGTACATACAATGTATATCAATAAATAAATGTATATGTCAAATTTTTTAACAGATACACTGTTCCGGAACGCCTAGTTAATTTACTAGTTATAGTTAGCAGTAATGCTTTTACAAATCTGCATATAATTATATAAACGTCATTTGATAAATTAAAGCAGTATAACAGATAAAATCATTCAAATCAATTGGTATTTAGGACGAACCTCTCAGTAGTTCTGATGAGTGCATGTTCATAGGCCTAGGGCACCTGTACTTGGTACGGCCTACTTCTGAACTTACCACGAAACTGGAAAGCGAAAGTAGGCGGAAAGAATGCAGTTTAGTTACAACTTATTTTGATTTTGATTTCGTCTGTTCCTAGTACCTTCTAATCAAAATTATCAACCCATCTTTATCCTTACAAAATCGATTATTTAAACCCTTTATCAATCATAAAAATACATACCTTGAACCAAGGACTTAGATAACAATCTAATCTAATTCCGTGCTTGAACCTTTCAGTTTTTATGACTCTTTATCAAGTTATTTGGACAACCGGAAGTCACTTGTAGCACATGCGTAAATATACATTTTGAAATAGCGGGAAATCGCACATTTTGTCAACGAAGCAGTAAGAAAACAACACAGAATACAGAGAAAGATATGGCTGAACAGCTGACAGCAGGGGCTCTCGAGGTATTGGAAAATGTTTCGTAATGACAGAAGTTGCTGAACAAATATGCTAATTTGTTTAAACACGAGTTTAAAATCCTTAAAATCTAATCAAACGTCGACGGCCAAATTTCAGTAAAGTTCAGTTGGTTACTTTATTTATGTTTTCCCCATTGAAATTTCAGTTCAGTTATATACCATGAAAGACGACAAATAAGTCAAAGTAAAGACCAAAAGCCGAATCTATTTAGTGATTTCTTTTTTCCATTCCAGTCCATCATCGGTGGAGAGTCTATCGACAACCCTGTATTACAAGTGCTTGTAAGTATTGCAAGTGTAAGGTGGCAGTACCCAAATCGGAACAATACTTGTGAATAAATTAATGTGTCAACAAATCAGTTATAATAATAATAATAATAATATCTTTATTTAAGGAGGGTTACATATTTAGTACAAGACGTATCTTCCATATGGCCCTCTCAAACATCATACAAACATGGAAACTGACATTAAAACAGATTATTATGCTAACTACAAAATCATGGACAACAAAAAAACATTATGTAAGATTACTGAAAGCTACTATTGTTTATGAATAAATGATATAAAAATGATGTAGTCTTAGAATAGATAGCTATTTTTTGACTACAGATAATTAGTTTTCAAGTTCAAATAGCGCAAGAAAACGTAATTCAAACTCAAATGTCAATGTTTTGGTAATGTTTTTAAAAAATGGTGCGTGCAACGACTATGCACTCTGTTTTGGGCTATAGGAATTAATTCACACTTTTTGTCATATAAATTCTAAAGGTGCAAAATTCAAACCGTGATACAATTTGGTTCCCGACATTCGCAAAAACCGGAGACGCTGATTGGTGACTTCAGAGCGTTCTATAAATATCTCAAGTGAGCCCCGGGTGCTAATTTCGTTTGTGAAATCACCCATCGATATTTTATTTTTGATACAACCATAAATGAATATAGTTCCTCTTCAAATTTTTCAATGATTTAATACAATGATGGTGTGGTGATCCGATTTGGGTACGGTCAACTTAACTGTAAGGGGGGCGGGAATGGTCCTGTGAGGGTAGGCACCAGTTCTCACTCCGTAAAATCTGTGTTGTGATCGTGTAGGTCTTTTGGTCGTAATGCATGTCAACGTTCTGGTTTGTTAGGCCCGAAATACTGTTCGCCCTAGGTTGTTTAGCCGTAAAACAAAAATATTAGGGCGAAATATTCTATGATATTTTATTTTAATTTTAGTAGTTTTAACTCACAAATTAAGTCTTTATATTCTTCCATATCAATAAAATAAATTTCATAAAAAATGTGTTTATCTTATTTCTAAGCGAGTGTGACGAATGGCAGCTGTGAATAGCTGAGTACGCTCTCACATACTCTACATGAAATATACCTCAGACCAATGGAGAAAGTCATCAATAAGTTCAGTTGATACATTTGAATATTAATTATTATATTGGCTTATAAATTTAAAAAGATTATTCAGGGCGAACAGGATTTAGGTCGAAACGACCCTTAGTGCGAACAGGATTTAGGGCGAAATAACCTGTTACCGGTTCGAACATTGGATGTAGTGGTAAGACAAGCAATTGATTCAGTAACTCGACAATGCTTTTCAAAATAAAGATAACTATTTATCAACAAGACAGAATTAATATTGATAACAAGTTAACAACAACAAAATTTATTACATTAATGCCGAACTAAGACAGTTACACCAGAACCCTCTCTTTTATACCCCTGCACCCCCACTAAATAGCTCTATAGCCTTGAAGATGATTAAAAAATAATGAGAAGAATCACCCACTTTCAGCCGTCTAAAAGTGTTAACACAGATTTCAGTACCGATATATATATAGTAGCAGCTGATCGCCAGGAATCAAACACAGAACGAAAAAGCCCAACTCCATATCATGGTGAATAACCCTAAAAATAACAGATCCCTGTCTGTTAATCATTAAGAACAATTATAAACTTAAATTAGTAATACAAATGTGCCATTGTGAGAAGTAAACAACCTAACTGCCCACACAAGGTAACTTCGTTAACCTTCACATAGAATATAACAAACCTCCGATGCGGTTGGAGATCATCCCTGATGTGACTGAGGGATTGATCTTTGTTTGAGAATAATTGTCTAATTGGGTCAAAAATGCAAAAAAAAATATTCTTAGTTAACCATTATATTCCATTTCCACTATCACAATACCTTTTACAAAGGTTTCTTTTTCGATAAGCAAAGTGGAACAACACACACACTCACAATGGGTATTTGTATGAAGATGAATCATTAGAAAATGATATAACAATTATTAATCTTGATCATGCATGTAAAAACACTGGTGGACATTTTTGTGTTTGTACACGGACCACCAAGTCCAGTTCCCCTACATTCCTCACTCCTTTTGTCTATGTCTTCGCTCTGAAGACACAACTATTTACGACCAATGTTCGGCTATCCCCTTGCCAAGCATGCACCCAATGCTTGAAATGAGGCACCAATGTGACAATAACCGGAAAATGCAGGGCCAGACTGAGGTTCAAACCTGGACCCTCCGAAACTCTTAGAAAGACATTCTACCTGGTCGCTGACGGTCGACCCAGTCCAGTTCCACTGCATAAGTTTACCTGCAACTGCCTAGATATCCTATAACTGCAGTGTGAAAGAAATGCTAGTCTTCACAGTTTTGCATTCAGGTTGTGATTTCTAGCACATTGCTTTAAATGTACATAACAGGGTCACAAATGTAGAGTTGTTCCCAAATGGTAAATGTGATTGATTTATGAAAACATGAAGCAGTGACTGTTCGTCATTTGTGTTTAAATAATGAAGTCAGTTTGAAATTGACAGAATTATATTCTTGCAGTTTTACATAGAAAATCATGTCTTATATTTCAAGTCAAGATACTGTTTCAAAACTTTCAATGCAGTATTAAATATTTATTTTGGCCTTAAAATGGTTTCAGAGTTCTAAACGAATCTCTGCCCAAGGCTCAACTGCAGACAGATACAGACTCCTTTTATCTGATGGAGAGACATCTTATTCACGTAAGTAAATGAATCCTGCAAATAGAAAAATGGACACGACTTCATATACACGCATTATGACTTCAGTAATGACAATTTGGTGTTTAACTTGTAACAGATTAACACTTCATACATGAATCTGTAAAATGAGTAGTGCAACTGTCATCTTTTAAGGGAGCCAAATAAAGATTTTTTTTGACAAGTCTCTGCTCTTTGTCTCATTAGCAAAAGAACATAGAATGTTCCTATAACATTATAGTTTATTTGCTGCATCATGGTTTAAACATTGATATTAATAAGATATTGCATGATATCACTATTGCTTAATTATCAAATCCATGAAAGAACCAGTCATAGCATACATGTAGATGGCCAATTTAATATCGGTTCAGTCTGTAGCTCTTGTTGCAACATGTTTCCATTTCCCACTTCTTACTTGCCTGCAATAGGGGGGAAAACGGTGTATGAATCTGTGGGTCTGGATTTGTTGATGAAATAAATACAATTTTCTTGACAGATGCCATGTTGGCAACACAATTGAACAGTTTGATGGAGAGTGGCGAGATGGATAATCTGGCTATTGTAAAGGTGAACCGCTACCTGTGCAACACCATCCAGGGAGACAAGTGAGTTTTAATGATATATCGATACAATGCACTACAGCTTACTGATAAAACATTAAAAAAAAGAAATGTGCTTTACTACCACCTAAAACCGGTATTGTGATGTATTACTTTTTACCTGTGAAATAATAGAAATTATCAATTCAATGAAAAGTATAACAATATTATGCCGAATGATGAAACAGTGTTTTGCACTTGTGTTTTTATATAACAAGTGAGCATTCAAATGAATTATGAATGATGACATTCTTATTTGATTTGTAACTAGGCACTGGGAACTTTTTCAGCAAGACTTTTGCTTTAACAATCATTTCTGAAAAGAAAACTACCTTGCAGAAGTTTTATGAGAAAGTAAAAAGATGCAAGAAACAAAACAAAAAGTCAACAACAGCATTCCCAGTGTAAAAACGAATGGGGCAAGGCCAGGATTAAAACACAGATTTATTGTATATTTTATACAAAATGAAGAGGGATTGGGGTTACTGTACAGATTTATTGTATATTTTATACAAAATGAAGAGGGATTGGGGTTACTGTATAAAGGAGAAACAACTGTGGGATTGTTCCATTGGAAAGTATTGTTGAGTTTTGAGGAACTATCTTATGGAAATTTTCCTTAACTTCAGCAATTCTTCCAAAGAAAAAAAACTTTATTTAACTAATTCATCCCTGAAGACACATTTGAGCTCTTCCAATTCAAAGGTTGGTATAGTTTATTATGAAATTTCAGGGGTGAATGAGTTAAGGAATATACTCCAATTTAGAAATGGAAATGAGACTGGGGCCACCATGGATGGAGATATTTTGATATTGCCTAAATTTGGCATGGATCATTCAGAAAATCCAGTGTAGTATCAACGAATGGTGTGCCATTTGTAGTGTTAAAGTGATCATACAGTTGACATTTTCTTTGTTATGTTGTCAAGGAGAGTGATGATCCTGCTGGATGTCGCAGTCCTGACTAAAGGTTCAGATGTAGGACAACGTCTTGGGAATCCTCAGCAGCTCAAGGCCCAAACAGCTTCAGACAAGGACAGCCACCGTTAGTTTTAATACTTGAATATTGTAGCCCCTGCCATGAATTGGAAGTGTTCAGGGTGGAAGGCAATACCCTCTTTTGCATCATCGCTCATTGCAACAGAACTATATTAAATACCTGGAAGCTTTTTCCTAATTAAACAACCCATATTTGCCCACTGTTATTTCCCCCCCCCCCCCCCTTCGCATCTAATTATGAGAAGTTATTTACTGGCATGAGAATTCACCTTTATCACAGAGTTTGAAAAAAAGTGAAAGTTAAACATCAAGCCAGTTCATCTTTCAGGTTGATGAATCCAAGGTCGACCCTAATGACCTAACCTGTGTTGATGGGCCGTTAAGCATTAATGATAATAATAAAAATATTCTGCAGTTTCAAATGAAACTTTTAAAAGTAATCATTACACAAATAGCTTGAACTAGTTCAAATTCAGGTTTGTGGATAAAAGAGGTTAAGGTAATTTACAAACAATAGAAAAATCATTTGTCCTCCCTATATTGACTTTATTTTTCTACTGATTTGTTCACAAAGTTCATATTCCAGCGCCTGGCTATCAATGTCTACTGCATTTATAGCAAATGAAAAACTGATAAATCTCTAGTGGCCTTGTGGGGTTTTTTGGAAATTTTATGAGTATTTGGAACAAAAAAATGTGTGAAAGGGGTTTGCATTTCAGGGTCCTGTACCCACAATTGACAGGCAGAAGGTGTGCTGCCTATGTGGGCATTCATCTCAAACAGAAATTGTTAATATGTAACATAAATGTTTGATGGGGGTGATTCAATGATAATGTCATTGTATCATGTCACCAATTAGCCAGTAGAAATAATAAATATTGTTACAGGGAAATTAATTCCTATTTAAATGGAGGTTTTACATTTCTGTCTCATTTCAGACTCTGCCCAACTCCCTCCTCAGATGCCCAAGCAGGAAGCTGGTGGTCAAAGCTACATGGGTAAGCCCGATTGTGATTGGTGTGATTCTGACTTTGATCTTTTGCGTAGATGGGTCACAAAACCCAAGGTTTTTGAGCAAATCTGCCAGCTACTAGAGGACAAAAAACCTTGACTGAAGTGTTTTAGTTTTAGTCTGATATATCAAGAAAAAGTGGTGATCAATTCTGATGGAGAGAATTTAGAAATAAGAAGGACAGATGTAAACATTGAGATACATGGCTTAGCCATACAGTACATACACAGATACTCAAAGGTAAAGACTTCTTGAATGTAGTGTGGACAAAATAGTTTCAGTGTTATATAGAATTTGGAATGTACTGTAAAAGGTTGTTTTTTTGCCAAGCTCTTGGTTCTGAAGACTGAAAACATTGAATATACAGCAACATTTTCAGTATAAATAATTTTAGTACCAGTCAAAAATGTATATAAATAATCAAATATGAACTTTAGTGGTTATGTGCACATTACCATAGAAACTGGTGGGGGGGGGGGGGGGGGGGGGAATGTGCAGGTTTTCCTAAAATAAAATATTGTAACCTTGGATGAAAAATTCTCACTTTTACAGTATTTCAAGATTAAGGAGTTTTCAGAGGCAAAATATTTTTCAAAATGTTCAACTAAATTAAGTTATCATTATAAGCTGCAGATTGATTAATTTATTGTGAAAATCAATTAACTTTGTAGATGCCAGTAAGGCATTTGTTGGTTGTGATGGTTTGGCATTGAGTGCTTAAAAGTTTATTACAAAACCTGACAATCAAACCAATGCTTCAGATTATTTTTCTGTTAAATTTGATCACCAATCAAATCTTGTGTTTTTGTCCATTGATTGTAAGCGAGAAATAATGTTAGGACTACTCAATAACAAATAATGTTGAAGATAGAATGCTCTTATATCTAGATCTGCTTACCATTTCTCATGTTAATTCGATTTCAAAACTTGATGAGTGGTGGGGCCATTAAAAAGTGCCTCACACCACTGTTGTTAGTCTGGTATAACCCTAAATATATATATTTATTTTTTGCTGATAAAATTTGAAATGGATGTGATTAATTTATTTAGTTTTTAGTTGTGATATTGAATCAACAAATTGTTGACTAGTGATTTTATTACACTTCTACCTTAACTTTGTTCATATTTGCCAGGGGGTTGGAGAGGGAATGCATTTGGACTAAAGATGAAAGTATATTAAATTCTTGTAACAGAAGTGTAAATCAGTCGGTGATAAAAAATTTCCCTTCCCTTTTCTTTCTTCTTTTTTGAAATTTGACAGGGTCAATGTCTATTCCAGATACAAATATATTAGAGGCATTAATTTATGTGTGTTTTGTCTCCTTTGTCATTAAGGAGTTCACCTCCTACACAATCACAGCCCCTATATTCCTATCTCGAATATCTTTGAAAAAATCTGTGGCAATGTATTATGTGGAACAATGTTTACCTAATATAGTATTAAAAAGGGAACAAATGTAATCAAAGATGATAATGATATGAAAGTTTATACATATATGATACTGGATCTAGTCTGACACATTGTTTACTCTCTGTAATTTTGTTTATTAGTTTTACATCATCACAATATTGTTCAAATGTTTTATAAGTTAAGTTGTAAATCTTATGGCATTGAAATGGTTTTATGTACTTCTACAATAAATGTTATTCTAAATTTATCTTTTCTTATTTCATGATTGCTGTGTCATTATCTGTGTTCAGTAATTCCACCATGAACGGATTATTTTTACTTCCTTTTTGTCGTCACTATGAAAGTGAACTGCTAAAGGCGTTAATCAGTGAAGTTTTTGGCATAGTGTGGCATTTGTCGTCAACTTTCCATATAAAAAACCTACTCATTCAGAACAGCTGAAGTGATTTTAATTAATTAGACAAGGTTAATCTCTTGGCCAATGGAATTTAACACTGTATGAGGACAGGGGCAGAGCCCAAAAGGAGAAAAATGTAATGCTTTAAAGATCGGTAATTATGACATGAAGAGATTTTGAAATAACTTGGCAACGTGCACCCCTGAGCCTATGGATCATGAATTTTCATGAAATTTCCACATCAGGACGCATTGGAGGGTTACTAAACTGCAGTTTTCCATTGTACAACCAAAAGTTTTTTAAGGAAGTTCAGGTGTTTCACTTTTAAGCTGCAGTCTTCATTGCTGGTTTTAGAGATAAAATGTTTCTTAAATTGGAGAACAAAGTGGTGGCATTTTGATTATTAGGAACGATCGCATCAGCATATAACTTTGTTTTATCATAAATTCCCTTCATTCCAGAAGAACTTGAGGGTTTTGTTAATGTGCGTTGGCTCTGTGGTACATTTCATCACCATCTTTGCTTTTTTTGTATTTCATTATATATTGTAAACCAAAATCAAACCAGGAAACTAGGATGAGGTTTAGAACAATTTGTAAAAATGAAGCTGAAAGTCGGCAATAAATGTACCCTCAAATCACTGACCGTGTATCGAAGCTCACCAATGCAGGGTGAAAAATTGAACAAACATGTTTAGGTCAAGGTGGTAATGTTGTGATTAGATATCTTGCTGCTAGGGCATAAGCTTGAATTCTTAATTAATGAAAAAGTGTTTGATGACATGCCAACTTTTATCAAAGCCTTACACATAACCTAATATAAGCGTTTTTGTTTGTGCATCAGGTGTTGTGAGTCAGAAGCAAAATACCAACAAGCAGTCACCACCAGCTAACCCGTACAAAGGTATTGGGAATAGTTTTGCATCATTATTGCAGTTAAAAGGGTCATTGGATTTTCACAATAAATTTGCTAGGGGAAGGATGGATGTAAGAATTGTATAATTGGAAGATCTAAATTGGACTCAGTGTTCTGGTACATTATCAATACAAGTTTCATAATTAATCTGGACATCTCAATTGGAGATGAGGTGCCCTATGCTAATCACAATGTCCATCCGTCAGCACGAGGTTTCTGGAGATGATCTGATAATCTAACAGACAGATTTTTTCGAAATTTGACATTACGATACATTGTATTCTGTAGATTTGCAATAGGGGTTTAAAAGTTTTTATGTCAAGGCCAAGATCACTAAAAATAGACCATGAATCCGGAGTGTACTATCTTTATCTTGGAATCCAAAAGACTAATCTTTTCCAAATCTGACACAGTGATGCACTGAAATATGTAGATGTGCAATCAAGTTTTTAAAAAGCTTCTAAGGTCAAGGTCACTGTTCCTGAAAATAGACCATTTGAGGGGTTTTGGGGTTACAACCAGGCGCATGGTGGGGCCTTTGTTGATCTATCAGTGTTTAGTTTTCATGTTTGTGTGCCTTAACAACTTATATAAAATATTGCAGCATTATAACTGAATCCGAAAATTTTCAAACAACAAAATAAGCATTTAATAGACACAAATTTATTTGTTGATGACGAAGTAGATGTTAACATGACACTTGTTATATTTTTCTGCATAAGTCTATTCAGTAAAAAGGCTATTCAGTAAAACCCTGTTATACATATGGCATTTGACAAATCCGAAATTTTACCGAGACTGTAATATATAGATCTGCTCAATCAAAAAGAACAATATATTGTAGATAGTCACTGATAAAAAAATCAAAAAGAACAATATATTGTAGATAGTCAGAGATATTAATGTAGGTAATCTAAAGAGACGGAAAGATTGATAAACATTTGTCAGATTTACTTACTCCTTCATGATATAATCATTTAGGTTAAGTCAATTTCAAGAAATAACTACAAGAGACAAGCAGTTAGATGAATCCAACAACAAAAATAGTTTTTTTGTGGTTTTTTTTATAATAATGTTTATTGATGCTAAACCAATTAATAGCCAAAATACATCATGATATTGGAGTAAAGCAAATTCGAGGAAGTTGAGTTTTACTGTAAACATTTATTTGGTAAAAAATTCAGTCTAATGCACATTATATAGGTAGTAGGGTGGACAAGATTTTCAAGTGTGCTGCAGGGAAGCTTGCTGGATCTTTACAGTATTGCTGTAAAATTGACACAAATGGTATCAAGTTGTAAAACTGATACACTGTACTTACAGCAGGAAATGCCAACAAAGGTGGAAACTTCAGCATGAAGGGTTCCTCTACACCGACAACGCCTGGCAGCACTCGTGTGCACACTATCTCCTCACTCACACCTTACCAGAACAGGTTGGTCAAATTTCAGAAAATGTTTTACCTGATTGCATATATAATTTACTGAAATTATGTAAAGATCTAGGTCATTCGTATCCATTTTGAAAGGCAAAAAGATTATGAATAACTGCAGTGAGTTTTGCATGTTAAAAATTTGCAGCAATGAAAGCAATTTTACTACATTCTTTGTACCAGGTATTTATTTAATTAGTTTTTGAAGAACAACAGCAAATCTTTATATATGCTAAGCTCATTGTAAAAACTTTAATCTTTTTGGGAAATCTTAATAAAATTGATCACATGAAAAAGTCTCTTGATTTACAATTGCTACTGGGTTAAGGATTTTTCAAATGAATTTTCTATTATCACAAGTTTGCTTGTGTTTTACTGGGATGATGCGATGATCTTGCAAAATTAGGCAAAAAGTTGGGAGTAAAAAATATTGACCAGGTATTTTGTTCATCCTCAAAAACGAAAAAACCCAATTAAGTTTTCATGGTAGACCATACAGAAAATATATTGAGATTTAACTATTTTGTGTATATTGTATTAAAACTACATACATTTACTGGAATGACATTGGACAATTTGAAAAAGTTTGTACAATTTTGAATTGAAAGGAGCTGGAGTAATTCACTTGAGTTGCATATTAGTCAGCTTCACAAATTTAGATTCTTATAAAAGTATTGGAGATGCTGTAACTATCTGGTTTTTATTAGATGGAGAATCAGGGCAAGAGTAACTCAGAAAGGTAGTGTACGGACGTGGAGCAATTCTCGAGGGGAAGGAAAGCTGTTCAGTGTCAACTTTACGGATGAGTCGGGAGAAATTCGTGCGACAGGTTTCAATGAGGCTGTAGACAAATACTACGACATGCTGGAAATGAACAAGGTATGGTGTAACAGAATTGGGGAAATGAGCTGGTGTTGTGCTTTTATAACTACATTTAAAGTTGGTAGGCATATTTAGGGACAAAAGAAATAGTTAATATTGTATGATTTGTGTTACTCGGTGGGATAAATTAGGTCTTATAATTGTTTTATAATGTTCTTCACTTGTTAAATGCTTTATTACCTGAAACTTTCATTACATTAGTGGTAATCATCAATATTAGTACAGTAATTGTCACTCAAGTAGTTCACATGTAACAGGAAACTGTAGAAATATACAAGTTTGTAACTATAAGGTTCATGTTAAATGTTAGTTGGAGGTCTATTTGTCATTGAAGGTGTACTATGTGAGCAGAGGAACATTAAAGACTGCCAATAAACAGTACAGCAATGTGCAGAACGATTACGAGATGACATTCAATCAGGATACTGCCATTGAGCCCTGCACAGAAGAAGTGGATTTACCAGGCATTAACTTTCAATTTGTTGCACTTAATGAACTTGAAAGCAAAGCTGCAAATTCCCTTGTGGGTGAGTTATTCTATTACAGTCACATTAACATTAATTGGTTAAGTTTTAACTGCTCTCCTGTTTGGTATACTGAATTCATGTTTGTTTTTACATGTTAGATAAAGTGTGCATTTCCTGAACTTAATTAGCCAAGGCTTGGTCAAGCTTGAGTCAATATTTTAGGATATTGACTTTATGTTGCTATTTTTATGAGAAACAGAAGCTTCATCTTCTCTTTATGACATCACTTCAATTGTAAATTTGCTTTTCTTTCTGCCAAATGCAGTACTTTTCTAGTTTCTCACATTTCTTGTTTTATAATATTGTTAAGAAATAGAAAAAGAAAAATTTCATATGTAATATAACAATGAAGAACTGGTATTTCCTCAAATATGTTTTTATTTCAAATGTAACTTTGGGCCAACCCTTTTGAAATGTGATGTTGTACCTGTTCTGTAGATGTGATAGGAGTGGTGAAGAGCTGTAACGAGGTAGGGACAGTAACCGGAAAACAGAGTCAGAAGGAGATCACAAAAAGGGACATAACTGTAGTCGACCAGTCTGGCATGTCTATCAGCATGACACTGTGGGGAAACGATGTAAGTGCAAATCTTATCTTGCCTGGCACAAAGTTCTAAAACAAATAACCTAGGGTCCTGATTTTGGCCAGCAGCTGCTTGGGATTAAGTCAAAGGTTGACATGAGTTAAATATTGTAACAAGAAAGTTTTAAGAATTCCATAATGATATCTTTGATAGTTCGGGTGGAGAGAGAAAGTTTCCATGTTATGGCCGAGGTCTGGACACCCGACACTACACGATTTTGTCCGGGCTAGTGGACATTTCAGTATTTTCTATGAAAGTATAGGTTAGAGCCAGCCAGTTTTTGAAATTTACCTATGAACTAGTACTGTTAAATAATATGAAATTGTAAATCCCATTTAAAAAAAAATAGACATTTGCAAACAAAACTGGAAATAATGAAGTAATTTTCGTGCCAGGCTGTGACATTCAGTGGTGATGGTAACCCTGTGATGGCTGTGAAGGGAGCTCGTCTCTCAGATTACGGGGGACGGTCTCTGTCTGTATTAGCCAGTAGTCAAGTGTTGATGAACCCCACAGACTTGAAGATCGCCTTCCAGCTTAGGAGTTGGTTCGACACAGAGGGACAGGGCATGGAGTTCCAGAGCTTCCGTGGCGAGGGTGGCGGTGGATCAGGTGTGCATGGTTTAGAAATCATATCTTCACAATCATTCTCAAAATTCTTTTAATACATGTTGAATTAGGCCTTAAACAGATGCAAATAGAAAGGCAAATTAAACTCCAGCAAATATTTCCTGATATGTATACGTTTGCCATGAAGATATCTATGCAAATACATATTGATTTTCAACTTCAGTAAGTAGAATTGATATTTTCTTGTTTTCGAGAATAACTTCAAAAGGTAAAAATAAATCTAAAACATGGTCAAACAACTGTGACTCCATTCAATAAAGCATGTCCTAAAATCAAGTCATAAATTTCCTAAAAATTAATTTCCATTTTCAAAATGTACAGGAAAATAGTTATTTGGCAGTTCTTTTTGCTAATGTTTAAAACTTTTATAATTTCCACAAACAGGTGGTAGTACCAATTGGATGACTTTTGCTGATGTTAAGTCTCAGAATATTGGTGGTGGAGAGAAGGCCGATTACTTCACTTCTAAAGGAACTGTGATATTCCTCAGGAAGGAGAACTGCATGTACAAGGTCAGATTTCCAACTTAATCTTACTCCATTCATCTTAACTTTTGTTAATTTATGTCTATTAGCATTTGGTTAAATCTGGTGTGCACCTTCAAATGTTTTAAGATGCAGCTTTTATTATTTCTTGAAGATGTGCTGTTTTATGTACATATTTTGATTTTAATGCCGTTCTTTGAATATGCATCCTTTTGATTCAGTTCAACCTGTTTGTTTCTTGTTAAATGTAACATTTTCAATATAAATCTTGGCAGACTTGCAAATGTTTATGCAGGCCTTGCAAGGCTTTGTCAGCGCTTGCCTGAAAGCAGCATCAGATAACTAGGTCCAACCTTGTTTCATAAACCAACAGCTCTGGTCCAACTGTTTGGATTGCAATAAACAAATACAGCACAAGATTCCAAAATATAGATCACTTCTAACCATGGTTAGATTTTCTTTCTACCCAGTACTACTTCTTAGCAAATTATACATCAAATTCTAAAGGTGCAAAACTTGTAGTTATGGAGCGGTATATTTACTTTACTCGAATAGTTCTTTCATTTAGCAATAGCTGCTTTGGTTTAAGTTACAGAACCAGAAGTTGTGTATTTCTTTGAATCACGTCAGACCTGCAGTAGGGTTGTTTTTGTCATCCTGTACATTGTCCTACCTTGAAGTTAACTGTAACATGGTGTTGTTCAATTTTAGGCTTGTCCAACAGAAAGCTGCAATAAGAAGTTAATTGACCAAGGCAATGGCATGTTCCGGTGTGAAAAGTGCTCCAGAGAATTCCCAAATTTCAAATGGAGGATGATTTTGTCTGTAAGTTTTTTATAATGAAATAATGCATGCATGAAGATTTTGTATTTCTTCTGTCTGTTTCAATATTGATTGAAAAACAGTCCAGCGTTGGACAGTATCTTCACTGTGGTACTAGCCTACAAATCGCTCTTACTAACTTCCAAATAGAATTGCAATAAATTATGATAGACTGTGTAGTCTTATTGTTAGGCAATGTTTGAACCCATGAAGGAGCAGTTTGCATTGTCATAGAGTAATGTACTGTGCTTGTGTTGGCACTATGGACAATTGTATAGCCTATTTTTTTGTCTTTGGGCAGCCCTCATTGAAAATCACACTTGCCCCATTGATTGGATTGTTAATTGTCAGACTGAATTTGAGTAAAAGCCGGGTGTGAAGAGTGTCATAGATTTTGTAAATCTTTTTGTTTATCCCAGGCCAACCTTGCTGACTTTTCTGACAACCAATGGGTGACATGTTTCCAGGAGTCTGCTGAGCTATTACTGGGGAAGGACGCCCAGGAACTCGGGGACATGAAGGATGCTGTGAGTGAAGGAAAAGGACACTAGTGAAAAATGTTGCCTTTTATCCAGATGTGTTTAATAGCAGCCTATAGCTGGATAGCTGTATTGGATGCACATATCAGATGCTCCACCATCAGGTGGCATTAGTGTCAAATTTAAATCAATGTTACAGTATATCATACCAAATTAATCTCAAAATTTTTAAATGCACAGTTTCGACTACTCATCATGTTTTCATACATTTTACTGTGAACACAGAAAACTTTGGCAGATGAGGTCATTGGAGTTGCTTCTGTTGAGTATAAACTAGGTCACAAAACTAATTAATTCAGTAAATAGCCCGTATCTGACAAAGTATTTGCTTTGTATTTATTGACTTGCTTTAAAAACACACCATCCAAAATAATCCTTTTATGAATCCATTTATAAGAATATTCATTGGAAAACACATGTAAACTCAATATTGATATTATCATTAAGTTGCCACTGTTGGTTGTGATCCTGTAGGTTGATTCAAACATCTGGGCATACCTATTTGCAACGTTGTGTATATAATAGGCACAAATAAGTTTGATTGTTCTCTCTGTATTTGAGACCTACAGATACAAAGAAGTACACATACTATATTATAATTAGGGCCCCGTATCGGAGATACGGGTGCCCTATAGTAATCACTCTGTCTGTCTGTCTGTCCATCCACAAATTTTGTTCCTGGCTGATAACTTTGGTATTTATTGACCGATGTACATGAAACTTGGTCAAGATGTTCAGTTCACAAAAATACACATTGAGGTAAAAAGTCAAGGTCAAAGGTCAAGGTCATTAGGTTCAAAGGTCAAGGTCAAATTTTACATCTTTTCACTGATGAACATTTTGTTATGACATTATGAAGCAAAGTTGATCAGAATTAAACAAGGAGTCAACTGACCAAAGGTCAAGGTCATCGGGTCAGGGGTCAAGGTCAAATTTTGTAGCTTTTCACTGGTGAACATTTCGCTATGACATTATGAAGCAAAGTTGTTCGGAATTAAACAAAGAGACACACTGAGGTAAAAAGTCGAGGTCAAAGGTCAAGGTCATTAGATTCAAAGGTCAAGGTCAAATTTTGCATCTTTTCACTGATGAACATTTTGTTATGACATGATGAAGCAAAGTTGATCAGAATTAAACAAGGAGTCAACTGACCAAAGGTCAAGGTCATTGGGTCAAAGGTCAAGGTTAAATTTTGTATCTTTTCACTGGTGAACATTTCGCTATGACACTTTGAAGCAATGTTGCTCAGAATTAAACAAGGAGTCAATTGACCAAAGGTCAAGGTCACTGGGTCAAAGGTGAAGGTTAAATTTTGTACCTTTTCCCTGATGAACATTTTGTTATGACATTATGAAGCAATGTTGTTCAGAACTTAACACAGAGTCAACTGACCTTAGGTCCAGGTTACGGGGTCCAAAGGGTCAAGGTCAAGTTTTGTATTTTTCACTGATGAACATTTTGTTATGATATTAAGAAGCAAAGTTGGTCGGAATTAAAGAATAAGTCAACTGACCAAAGATCAGGGTCACTGGGTTAATGGTCAAGGTCATTTGGGTCCAAAGGTCAAAGACAAAGTGGATCTCTGACTTTGACCCTGGCTCATGATGGAGGAGGTATATAAGGTGAAATAAAACAAATCAAAGCTAACAAATGAGTATTGCACCGGTATTTACATTTCTGTTAGCCCAGCAAATATGTAGGTGGGAGGAAACCAGACTCGCATCATAGTACATGTAAAATGTATATTTTGCTTCCTTGCGATTCTTTTTGAAGTCCAAATATCAAACGTCAAGCTCAGCTATATGGGCAGATTGCTTCTTGATGATTATGGGGGATATATTGCCACAAGACGGGGACCTTACTGAACTGTCAGTGTTCTAGTTGTGGTAGGATATGACAGAATCATGACTTACCACAGAAGCATGCCGAGAGTAGTGTAGTTCAGACTTTTTTCACCTGATCAATTATTGCGAAAGTGACACCTGTACAAGTAAATTTGGCATTGGTGGCAGTATAGATTGGGGTGAATGAATTTACCTATTATGTGTACTTCACAGTGAACATTTTACTAAACTTGATGTATGCTGTAGTGACAGATACAATACACAAATTACATATTAACTCCATAAAATCCTGTCTGTCATAGTTTCAATCATGCCTATGGTATTATAAATAAAATTGATGTTATTCAGAATTATAGAGAGAGATAAATACAGTTTGCATAAATACTGATCTTGAATGTATGATGGTGTAAGTTGTTCTGTCCGAGATGAATGTTATATGTCTTCCTTTTCTTTTTCTTTTCTAGGACGAGGCAGCATTTGATCAAGTGTTCCAAGATGCTATGTTCAAACCCTACATTTTTAAACTACGAGCAAAAATGGAAACCTACAATGTAAGTAATGCTCTGCAAATGTTTTTTGATTTCTTGAACAAGTTTTAAACAAATAACAGTGGCCGAAAAATCAGCAGATAATTGATATTTTATAACTGCTAATAGTTGTTGAATATTATGCATAAAAATGAAATATAAAGATGACCTTTTTATAAAATTTTCTAATGTAATGTGAAACTGTACCATTTAAGTAATGGTTATATTAATTAGATCTCTGCAGTAAGTCTACTCTGGCTTGAACTGGTAGGAAGTGAGTCCATACTAGCTTGCATTGGTGGGCAGTGAGCCATTTTAGAAATCTGTTGACACATTTCTGATCAGCTTTTTACTGTATCATCCAGATGTATGATGAGGTAGTATTTTGTAGAAACTGTGCTTTCTTTTACGCTAACACAATGAAATGAAGAAATCCTAACTAACAGCTATGTTAACATTTCTTGAACATTAGGACGAGACCAGACTCAAGACAATATGTGTGAATGCTAACCCGGTCAACTGGAAGGAGTATGGCAACCGCTTAGTCGAAGAAATCAATAAACTTGCATTATGAACATGAACCTCGTGTCAGTCCAGCGATTATGTGATCATTATAATCAAATGTTGTATATTGTCATTCGATGCAATATTTAAACATTTATTAGCAGTTCTAAAATGTGTGGCATTAAGTGAGAAATGACAAAAAGACAAGATAAGAAACTGTCATAGGCGATGAGTTACAGTGATGCAATCGACCTACACTAGACCATTTTGATGGGTTTCTATCTCGGAAACCAAGAAAGATGACATCACATGGTTAATACTTAGGAATGTCTCGGTGACAATTGTAGTTTAATGACCATGCAGAAGCAGAATTTATTCTGAAGTATATGTTGTGTACATGTCTGTAAGTATACATATGTATATATTAGAAACTTGTAGTATTCACTTTTGTGTTACTATTGATGCAAATCATCCTGGAATCTGGTTTATTTACATAAACTGGTGCATTGATAATATAAGGAATTCAGTGCTAGAATTTCAGACATTTGTGAAATATGTCATCAGTTCTTTGCAGATAAACATTTTGTTGGGTATATAAAACTGGCTTAGACGTCATTCTGTGGGATGTACTGTGTCCTAGTTTGATGAAATCATTTTTGATTTCTTAATCATAAAGCTATCATGGATGATTAAATTTCTTACAGGAATTTTTACGTTGTGGAATCATCAAGTTTAAAACCATATGCATCTTTAACTAATTCAAATCGATTATAAGGTGTGGAATCATGTTCAAGATGATAACAAAAATATGTAGCTAGATATCAGGCGTCCAATCATAACTGAAATGATAACAAGAATGTGTAGTCAATAATTCTTTAATCATTATGTTCAAAATTTTCAAGATTTTTTTTGAAGCTGCAATCATTTTTGCATTTGTTTTTTGCATGACTCTACATGTAGGTAGACCTTTTGTTAAGATAATGTTAACCTGTAAAGGTGATTTTTACACTTCCTTTGAATTTTACCCTAGCCATCTATGTTCAGCGATACCAGGTGTGAATCATTGTAAGAGGAACAGTTGCATATAATAAATGCCTGTTTGTACATCTGCAAGTGTTGTTGTTTTGTTACCTCATTCAAAATATATGGAAACTAGCAAAAAGAATCATAAACCTATTTGACGGGGCATATCTGACAGGTGTGAAATTACAGATTGGAAACTAAAATTGATCCTTTTCTGACATCGTCAAGACCAATCTTCACAATATCTTAAACAAGTTATTATATATCTGAGTTCTACCCAATCTGATTAAAATCATATGTTACATGGCTTTGTTAACTTCGTACTACGCCTGACCATCGTTCAGGCGGAGCCATGTAACGGATGATTTTAATCAGATTGAGTTCTACCAGCAAAAAATCTAGAGTAAAGTGGACTAATATGTTAAATGACCAAACATGTCATTGGTCTCATTTTTATTCATGAAACTCGACTCGAATAAGCGTTTCACCACAAGGGCAATAATCTGAAAGTTATCTCTTTTGAATGCTGTGATTTTGCTAACATGAAAGCATTCTGTATCGGGGATCTTTTACTGGGCAAAATAACATGTAACTGTTACAAGTCACCAGCACAATTTGCACCATCTTTCCATCCATCAAAACATGTCTGATGTTACTGTTACTATTGTTAAAAACAAGAAATAAGGCCCGACCTTCAAATTAGTAAGGCATTGGAACAATGTTCAGTAAATGTAATATGAATGGTACAAATATTACTTACCTCAAGGGCAATAACTCTTCAAAAGAAGCCAATATTGGCCCCTTTTTCGACATCAACAAATCAATTTGATCACAAGTTCATGTTTGGTTATGATGTTTTCAGATTTAAGAAGATATGACCGGCTTAAAAGTTCAAGTTCTATATTACTTTAAGTCGGTTGACTTATCAGTTATAACATATATACAAAGACAACATACAATATGATACACACACCGTGGAGAGTGAACACTAACCAGCGATCGCTCAGATCTCCTTTTGTTTGCTCGTATTAAATATTTGCCAAGATTTTGAATGTCGGATACATTCTCACAAGTAAGTAGTTGAATTAATGTATACATGCTTGTATGTCTTGCATAATATTTCTTAATTAGTTTCCACCTTATATCAATATAGGAAGGACATTTTGAAATGAAATGGAACTATTCAGATCACATACTGTACACAGAATCTATTTTGTCTTTCAGTTTTATCACATCTGCCACACTCAATATTTAATTCATGTGCAGACATTCGAATTTAACATTTGTTTTAAATAATTTATATTTACATGTGTTGATAAATAATACTGGTGACCAAAATTACACACATTGATACAGTGCTCCTTTAGGAGAAGATTGATTTTTTTTCCAAACAGTCTTGTCTTACATGTAATGTCACAAAGATGTTCTTTTAAAATATGAAAAGTGTTATTATTTAAACTGGAGGATTCCCATACATTTCAAAGAACAATTCTGTGTAATTCTTGTTTTCTTGGGATACAATTTCCTACATTTCTCAGTTTTATCCAATATTTGAATATACGTAATTTTTAACTATTTTCATGGGGTACTTCCATGTTCATAATACACCATAACATTACTAGTTGTATTATGTGAACCTAATATTTGTTTGCAGAATCTCGCATGCAATTTTTCGATATCTGGTGCGGCAGGGAAGCCCCATACTTCTGCTCCGTAACTTAGAACACTATTTACATAAGTATCAAAAACAGACAATTGAGTTTCTATATTAAAACATTTTTTCTTACAAACATTTAATCATGCAAACAATGCTTTTCTCCCCTGGTCAGCAACTTGCTTTTGAGTTTGTCTAAATTTTCCGTTAAAATTCAATAGTACACTAAGGTTATTGAATTGATCGACAACATCCAATTTATTTCCTTCGTGAAACCATATTTCATATCCCTCCATTTCTAAACACGACAATTTTAGTTTTCCTAGTCCAGTATTTACAGCCAAATCCCATTTTTAGCTCACCTGCCCGAAGGCGTTTAAAATGTTCCGCATTTTTAAGTACGGGTTGTCTTTCTTTAGTGGTAAGCATACTTTGTTCCGTGTCGACCAGAACTTTACTACAAATCTGTGTTTCTTTCAAAGACCAACATTAAAAGATTTTCAACCTTTTCTCCTTATAGATGGTTTCCTGCTGGTCAAAACTGATTTTAAATTGGTAAGTTAAGTTAAAGGATACATTCTTTATGAAAGTTCTCATTTACAGGTGTAAAATTCCTGAATTCATAAGAATTAAGTCTATATGTACCTGAACCGTATATCACGTGGTATGCATTAGTAACATATCAATCAAACCAGGCAGAAAATTAGTCGATGAAAAACAAGAAAAGACTTTTGTATACTTTCAGCACGTTTACATAGTTTCCCCTGTGATATCGATACCCCTGTGTTTACCGGGGCGCTGCGCTGTAACTGTTACAAAACGGCTGAAACTGAACCTTGTCAATCATTACAATTATACTGCGATTGTAAAACTATTTATTTGGTTGAAAAAATATAAGCTTATCACCTTTCACTATATGACTTTCGTACGTGAACCAAATAAAGGTTTTAACTGAATAGCTGTGCCGCATCGTTAAAAGTTGACCTGCAATGTCGAAGGTCAGAGGAGTTGTAAAGCCTCGTTGTGGAGTGCAATGTTTTGTTTTGTTTGAATAATTCTGTTTCTTTTCTATTAAGACCAGAAAAAGATATTTAAATATTTTCAAATTGACTGTCAACAAAATATCTTTCCTAGCATATTGCATTGTACAAACTAGGTGGGCAGTTATATGTAAAGAGGTTCAATTGTAGACGCATACATTGCTTTCTTCCGTAAACATTGAAATTAGCTATGTAATAGCACCTTATGAAACCTTTAAAATTGGCAAAACCTCAAATCAGTGGAATTCTCATCGTGATAAAACGCCTTCCCTGAATACGCGCAGCTTACCTTACAGGAGTATAGTAGATTTGAGAAGTGTTAAGGCTGTAAGCAGCGGCACATTCATTGCAACTGTGTTTCAGAATTATTTCTGTATGTCTTAACAGTAAAATACATCCTAGATATCTACAAACGCAATGAATATTTAGAGGGTTTTTTTACCATTTCCATATCCTATCCCATATCAACCTGAGGGGCTGGAGGCCTGAGGGCTGTTATGGATCAAAGGTTAACTCGGGGGAGGATTTGTAAAATGCCATACAACCTTTTATCATATATTACACGAGTAGACCATGCAAATATTTTAGTACTACTGAAATGTGTAGAACCGGAAGTAAAACGGTTATGGCACTTGCTAGGCAGATATGGCGCGTGCTAGGCGGATATGGGTTGGTACGGGGTAGTGCCTATGCATAGCTAGCATTATCATCCCTGGTCGTGATATAGGCTGTTTTGCATGTGTGATACCGCTAGCTATGCATAGGCCATATCCGTCTAACTTCAATTCAACACAGACAAATCACACCTCATACTGGTAGTTTACACACATACTATATCCATCTGTATTTGCAATGTTGTTCATTGTGTTAAATGCAAGTTAAAATGTGATTACATTGAACAGACGAAATATGTATTTTCGGTGGGTTTTTTGGTGCTATTGCTAATTTAATAAGTTTGATGTTATAGAGCATGCAGTATATGATAAAAAATGTTACCATTTGATCATTTTCGTATCCTTGGGGTGATATGAGAGCCTCGGGCTATGGTAACCTCTAGGTATCGCACGTGCAATACAACCCATATCACGGACAAGTGTACGATAAAAAAACGTACTGTTGAAGCTTAAAGTAACTTCTATAACGTCTCGCTAATCGTTTGTACGAAAAACAAACGTTTTCGAAGATAACTCAATATATATCATCTTTGGTTACGAGTACCACCAAATACTAACTGATTAAATAAACTGGGTAATTCACCAACAGTAGGAGGGGGGGGGGGGGGGGGGGGGGGGGGTGCAAAAAGTTTTATTGAATTGTAATCCATTTCTGACAGATAAAAGTATATATTTTCTACGTTTGCTTAGATTTCTTTTGTGAAAATAATGTTCAATAATCTTATCTCAAAACAAAATCAAAAATAGTATAAATGCTTTTATTTTGTTCGTTTGCCAATATTATATGTTCGTCCCCGATATGTAAGAGTTATGTCCCCTCATTAGGCCGAATACGGTCGTGAGGTATGCAAAAGGTCACGACCTGTATCGCATTCACGTCTAAAAAAGGTTTCGTGAAATTCAAAACTACAGAATATGAGAATAACAAAACTTCAGTCCTAAAATAAACAACAGTTAAAGAGAATGGAATGCGACGACAGACATCAAGTCTTGATAACGGTCTGCAACAGTCAGTAGCATTCATTCACAAGAAATTCGTTGAAAATCGTACCGTATCACGAATGTTGAGACTAAATGGTTTAGCACATGTAAGTCTGTTTGTCGCCAGCTTGACTTGCCAGTCACACCCCTAGTAAACCCGCCACTGGGTGGATACCCACCAACAGATCCGAGACAATGCACCACCATTGTAAGCATGTTCTTTGATTGTTGAAATCATGTCGGTTAATAGTAGAAGCAATCCCCTCTCTATCGAGTAAACAAAACTTCATATGTAATTATAGGTAAAACAGATCTTCGTTAAAATGAACCATTAAGTCCATGGTCTCTGCTGAATCAAACTTTTCTAGTCTGATCCCGGATAAACCTGATGTTTTGGAGGTTAATGATAAACCGGAACCACCTAGGGGTGAACAAGAACGTCACTAGATTAAATTAAAAATTAGAACGCCACAAGGTCCAACGTGAACCAGAACATCACAAGGTCCAACGAGAACCAGAACGTCACTAGGCCCAACGTGAACCAGAACGTCACTAGGTCCAACGTGAACCAGGGCGTCACTAGGTCCAACGTGAACCAGAACAACACAAGGTGCAACGTGAACCAGAACGTCACTAGGTCCAACGTGAACCAGGACGTCACTAGGTCCAACGTGAACCAGAACGACACAAGGTCCAACGTGAACCAGTACATCACTAGGTCCAACGTGAACCAGAA